GATGATCCCTGCATCCATGAGCTTCACGATCTCTGCCCGGACCACTGCCTCCAAGTTAGGAGACAATCTCCTCTACGGCTGCCTGACTGGCTTAACCTCATCCTCCATCAGAATTCTGTGGGAGCAGAAGGATGGGCTAATGCCTCTGATGTCTGTGATCTTCCAAGCCATGGCTCGGGCATACTTCTGCAGCAAAGCCACCAGCCTGCTCTTCTGCTCGGGTGTCAGATCCGAGCTAATAATGACCGAGAGCTTATTCCCCTCCCGGAGAAATGCATACTCCAGGTGAGAGGGGAGGGGCTTAAGCTCCAGCTCTGGTGGCTCCTCCAATGATGTAGCGATCCAGGGCGAGATAGGGATTGGCTTGAATGGTATCTCTCGCCCCTCGATCATGGCCTCGTCTAGCTCCGCGAGCTGCTCCTCCAGCTCCATGTCCTGTGATGCCTGTTCCCCTAGCAAAAGACAACGCTCAAGGAAATCATCAGTACCCGCACTCGTGATGGCGAGTGCGGTCTCAAAATCAGCAACAACATCACAGTAATCTAGATCATCATGGAGCTGGGGGTGTTTCATATTATCAGAAACAGAGAAGGTGATTTGTTCACCCCCAGCTCTCAAAATCAGTTTTCCATCATTAACATCAATAAGCGCCTTGGCGGTGGCGAGAAAAGGTCTACCCAGTATCAATGGCACATCAACATCCTCATTTATGTCCAAAATCACGAAATCAACAGGATATGAAAATGGCCCTACTGCGACTATCAAGTCCTCTGCTATACCCCTAGGATGCACAATGGATCTATCAGCAAGCTGGATGCTCATCCTAGTATCACTGGGTTCACCTAGGCCTAGCTTTTTAAACAGTTTATAAGGCATGACATTAATGCTAGCGCCTAAATCCACCAAGGACTTCCCTATATGCAAACTACCAATCATGCAAGGGATATTGAAACTCCCTGGGTCTTTTCGCTTCTCTGGTAGTTTGTTCTGCAGGATGGCAGAACACTCCTCGTTGAGCATCACCGTTGACAGCTCCCCAAGCTTCCTCTTGTTGGTGAGGAGATCCTTCATGAATTTGGCATACTTGGGCATCTTCGATAATGCCTCCACAAAGGGCATGCTAATGTTTACCTGCTTCAGCATTGCCATGAATTTGGCAAACTCAGTCTCCAGTCGGTCCTTGTGCAACCGAGTAGGAAAGGGAAGCTGGGGTACATACTCCTTCACCACTGGTTGCGGTTTAGGAGTAGGCACCTCAACCTCCTTCTCCATGTCTTCCTGATTAGCTGGAAGTGCTGAAGTAGGGGTCTCTCTCTCCTCTGCCCGAACAGGCGGATCGGCAGTCACCTTGCCACTCCTGGTTGTGATGGCACTGAAGTTGGCATTCGGATCCTGTGGATGGGGAATGGTCTGACCAGGCAAGGTACCAGGAGTCCTCTGAGCTACAGCCTGGGCAACACTCCCAAGCTGGGTCTGTATATCCCGCAGCACAGCCTGTGTATTTCTCTGACCAGCTTCTAACTCCAAGAATTTGCCTGAAGCTTTCTCCATGAATTGCTCGATGTTATTGAACTTGTTCGCACTAGAGGTGGCCAGAGAACCCACCAAATCTCTCAATTCCGCCATCGGGTCACTCTGTACTGGAGCTGCAGGTGCTGCTCCTGTCTGCTGAAATGGTCGCACTTGTGACTGTGGTGGAACTGGCCCCTGTCTGGGCTGGTAGAGTGGTTGCTGTGGCTGCTGAAATTGCCCCTGTCTGGGCTGGTACGGGGGCCTCTGGAAGCCAGGTGGTCCCTGGGGAGCTGGTGGTTTGGGATTTGCCCCAGCCCAGGAAAAGTTAGGATGCTGGCGCCACCCCTCGTTATAAGTGTTGCTGTATGGGTCGAAGCGCCTGGCATTATTGATAAAGTCCACCTGCTCCTGGGGAGTAGACAACTCCCTCATCGCCTGGCAGTCCTCTACGGTGTGATGGGAGCTCTCACACCACTGGCAGTGCATCGCCTGCGGCTGTCCTGTACCTGCAATCAAACCAGAACGATCGATAGCTGAAACCAGCTTCGATACCACCTGCACCAGATCAGATGACTGGGTGCCCACAGCATGCACACCCCGGCCTGGTGCTCGTCTCGATCTCCTGGCAGTGCCCCAATCGTACCCATTCTCCGCCATCTCCTCAAAGAGTTGATTCAGCTGTGGCGGTGTTTTGGTCAGCATGTTCCCGCCACAAACCGAATCAATCAGCTGGTTGTCCTCCGGGAAAAGGGCATGATAGAAGGTGCCCACCTTGAACGCATCATTGAAACCATGATTGGGACACCTAAGGAAAAGACTGGTGTATCTTTCCCAAGCATCCCTGATGGTCTCATCTTCGTCCTGGGTGAAGTGGGTGATCTGCTTCTGCAAGTCAGCTGTCTTGGATGGAGGATGGTAGCGGGTGAGGAACTTGTCCGCCAGGTTGGCGAACGTGGTGATGGAGCCTGGAGGTCGAGTGTCTAGCCACTCCTTGGCTTGCCCCTCCAGAGTGAATGGGAAGTACCTCAGCTGGATGGCATCTGCGGGTACCCCATTGATCTTGATTCCATCAATGAGCTCGTGGAATCGTCGGAGATGTGATCGGGGGCACTCCCCCTCCTTGCCACGGAACATCACCGAACCGCGCAGCATGGTGATTACTGAGGTGCTCACCTCGAAATTATTGGATGGGACATGAGGGTGTTGAATGGGTGACCTCATGTCTGCAGCCCTAGCGGTCCAGTAATGTCCCATGGTCTGCTCCTCGGGATCGACCACAACATGGTCCTGTGGATTAGCCATCTCCTCTTCTTCAGTGATCTGTAGCTGTGTTAGCGCCTCCTCCGCAGCCAGTCGCGCCTTTAGAGCCCGCTTGAAGTTTCTGCAGGTTCGTTCAAGCTCCTGGTCTAGTGGTAGTAGATCTCCCGACTGGCTACGGGTCATGCACTACCTGCACACAATCAGCAGAAGCAACCCGTGAAGGTACACAGGTGGAAGAGATAAAATGCAGTAAATAAAAAGCTAGAGTAACAAATTCTCACGTTTCCCCAATAACCTAGAGGGGTCCACGGCAACGGCGCCAAAAACTCGACACGCCAAAACACAACACCAATCTGCGACCAAGTGTAATCGCAGACCGGGAATGCAGTAACAGGCAAGTTATATTATCAACCCGGGGTCTAGATCTACTGCTTACTCAGTGATTCTCTGTTATCTAGCCAACTAAAGTGAGTGATTGTTGTTTAAACTAAAAGCAGAAATAAAGCAGGAATTTATTCGGTTTTCTCAAGCAGGAAAGAGTCACTCGGGAATGAATCCCCCTAGCTCCTTAGTTAGGTTCAATTGCAATTTACCCTGGGTTGATTTACTGTTGATTAGACTGCGGAAGATCCGGCAGTAGCTTGGAATCTCTTAAGCTGACCAAGCCCTCTCAGTCTAACTATCCGGCAGACGACTAGTCTTCACCGGGATAGAAAGCTGAAGCAGTAAGAACAGAAATTCACTACTGGAATTAGATTCCAGTACAAAGTAGTAAACTGGCTAACTCTCGTATAGCCAATCTCCTACTATCGAATGATGAGACTCTAGCAACCTAATCAGATTCTATCTATCTCAGATTGCAGCAGGAATCAGGAAAAGTTGATCAGACTTCAATTGACTCAATAAACATGCATCATTCGATTAAAATCAAACAGTAATATCATCCCATGTCATTACAATCAATCCCCTAACACATAGAACTAGGGTTCTTCATCCCCAAGTGAGAGAGAGGTTCTACTCCATAGAGAGAGAGAGAGGAAAACAGTAATCGGAGTAGTCATACTCATAAAGATGTGGAAAATCTGCTCCGGGATGATGATTTCCACTCCTAGGACGATCTCCAAGCTTGATTTGATGAAACCCAGCTCCAAGATGGCTTCTAGGATGTGTTCTTCGTCCTTTCTCTCTCTAAAACTCTGTTTTTGCTCAAAAAGTCCGATCCTCTCTCTTGCAGCCCGGAATTGGGTTAAAACCATGAAATCCCGACTCACACGGGCAGGGCCACACGGCCGTGTGGCATACCTAGTTGCCCGTGTGAGTTAAAACGCTGCGTTCCACTTAGTTCGATTTTCAGGCTTCTCACACGGCCAGGTTGGCACGGTCGTGTTTGATTTCTATCTGCCCGTGTCTGCTCACGGCAAAAGTCACACGGCCAGATCACTTCGTCACACGGCCGTGTGCATTGTCAGGGCAGGCCGTGTTTGCTCTCGGCAAAACTCGCACGGCCAGAAATATGAGTTGCACGGCCGTGTGATTTGCGGGTGTGCCCGTGTGGCCTCCTTTGTGACTTGCCTCGCGCCCGATCTTCGTCCAATCGACCCCAAACTCGCTCCCGAGTCTCCATTCACGTACTAGGACCTGAAATATCACAAACAAGCACAACCTAGCGTGAAATCGGCCTAAAACGCGAGAAATCACATCTCAAACGGTGTAAGAACAGGGGTAAAAACATGTGTAATTAACGGTCTACCATATGCATTACAATTCACAAGCATCATGTCTTACATACAATTTCAACAAAAAAATTTGTCTCGATACCCCGTCACACACACAACACAAGCATGATATTTCTATTTCACATGGTAAACGTACACCTCACCTAATGATTGCATCAAATCTATTTACCAAACTAGCCATATAATTCTAACAAAATTATGTAGTTTACTTGCAACACAATTAATGTTTGAATGAGACACCACTTATTGCTCAAACAAATATACACTACTCTACTAAAAATCGGTATCCTCAACACGCGGCACCGTTGCGGTTGTCATATTGAGGATTTTTAACATAAGCAGACATCATAAGTCAGTGGCGAACCCATGAATTTTATATAGGAATGTCATTTTTCAAAATAAAAAATAAAATAAAAATTGAATAATTAATAATTAGTAAAAATCATTAGATTCTTAAATAAGAAAATACCCAACTCGTACAAGTTAAAAAGAGCCAATGATGTATTTTTATATTCTACAAAAATTATAAAATACACTTGTCTACACTGCTCAACAAATTTGTCTCAGTATATCCTACTAGACAAACATTCACGAACTCACGCATATTTGATTTCTAAATTTGTTCATGATGTAACTCAAAGCTGAAAAACACTTTCAACACTTGTCGTACAACCATAAAATTAATACAAGTTAAGGGTAGCTTATAATTAAATTAATTTTTAGGTTTTGAAAATAATTAAAGATAGAGAGTATGATTTTGCTATTACACAGTGTTTGGAATATAATAACAAAAAAGTTGTAGCCTGATGACAATTATATTTATTAGTAATAGTAGTGTCCCGGGTTTGAATTACCCAAACTACCACTTATATTCTCATACGGAAACTACAAACGAGAATAGTATAATCGTTCTTTCAAATTTTAGGGTGTCCCGACTATTAGTTATAATTTTTTTGTCTATACGTAAATTACCACCGAAGATTGGATAATCGATCTTCCAAAATTTAGGGGTCTCCCGAGACACCCCTAAATACCCTTGGGTCCGCCCCTGTCATAAGTTAACTATAACTAAAATCATGTTCCTCACATTTTAAAAAAGGAATAGTCACTCGGTTGGGTTTCGTGGGTTTAAGGGCATGTTTGGAAGTTGGGATTCTTTAAATTGATGTATTTAATCAATGTATGTATTATAATTAGATGTATTGTTTCAATGTATGAATTTGAAAAATACATTGTTTGGAGACTAAATGATTTTAATGGAAATAAGGAAGAAAAGGTAAGTTAACAATACATCAACACAATCTCTGTTAAAAACTGAGATTGACAATCATTCATAATGAATGATTCTGGTGGTCCCATCTCCCGTTCAAATACAAGTATTATGTTTCAGTTTAAGACAAGAAAATGACAAATTCTTCTGATTACATGTATTGCTTAAATACACCATATGAAATCCCAACTTCCAAACGACCCCTAAGTAAATAGTACCATCAGTTCCCAGTAGTATTCGGGTTATGTTATTGTTGATGAAACCCAACAGAGGAAACTCTTCTGCTACTGACAAACCCCACTTCCAGGCCCCTCGTTCTTAAATGAACTTTTGAGATTTGAGAGCTGCAAATGTTCCTAACAATCTGCAAGTTGATATGGTTGATATGGTTTAAGAGTCATTAGACCATTGCATACAAAATGAGATGAATCAGTACCAGAACAAGAAAGCTTTTCAACAAGCTATGCATGCCCAATTTGTAGGCTATACAAGTATGTGGAGTGCCCTTACCCAGCAAGAACAAGATTGCTACCTGATCAAGTGGAGTGCTATAGCAATTGTCGCACTCAGCTTGCTATCTAATGATAAATTTGTGATACTGCAGCGGTATAAAGTACGATGAGAGCAACCTGGTGAATCGTCTCTCTGAACAGTTTGGTTTAAACACTAGTGTGGCTTACAAGCCCTGGTTTGATGATGACAAGCAGGTAATATATGACTCTTGGCGCGTCCAACTAAGTAAAAGATTGATCTAAGTTTCTTCTTCTTTTACAAATCCAGCACATGTTCATGAAATCACCCTCTTCTATATGTTTAAGAGATTGATCTAATTCCCTTCTTCTTTTTCTAAATCCAGTACCTGTTTATGAAATCACTCTCCTCTGGATGTTTACAGATCGATTGAGAGACACACGACTATGGAGAGAATAACAAATCTGCATATGCAACCATTAGAGCAGCTTCCCACACGACACCATTCTCCTCCCCCAGTAGATCACTCACTTTATTTGTTGCATTTCTTGCTATGAAGCCATTGGCAACTTGATGATCATCCCTCACCATGGATCAAGGACTATCGAAAAAATATGCACTCTGTGATTTTTTCTACAAGCAGCCAACTCCTCTTCACATTCTTAGCATTTCTAATCGCTGTTACCCTAATTATCACAACTCATATCGGTCCTCGTAAAAACCTGAAGAACATGCAGCCAAACTCTTCATCGGATGGTGTCAATAGTGACGGTTTGGAAGTGGGAGGGAAAATACCACATCGAAGAACATAGGAAATTTAGGAGGAGAAAAGGAGTATAAAATAAGAGTTGGGTGCTACTTCACACCATACTTACCTGGACGGGATCTACAGGTGATCAATAAGGCCTATGGTCTAGGCCAGTGACCTTCATTGCACTTTACGGAGGGGTGTTGGGCTAAGGTCTCCCCATAGTGGGAGAGCCTACGTCATAATTTGTGGCAGCGGGGGCCTGCGTTCGCGCGGCCCCTACCCAATTCTTAGGCGAACTTTTACAAAAGCCCAATTCTCTATTCTTTGGTTTTAGTTTCTGGTCGGCCATTTGTGGCCCAAGTAAATTCATAAATACAAGAGGCAATGGGTACTTAGCGAGTTTTTTCACAGAGCACGGCCCATTCGAGCCGCCAATGCTTTAAATTTTGACGTCCTTCGCAGTTGGTTTATTCCCTAGAGTTGATCACTGTGTGGTATGTTTGCAACATACAAAAGCAAACCATGATATATACATGAAACACATGCCGGAGTTGGTTTCTCAAACTCGGGAAATGCATCTTTCTACAGCTCCATATGCTCGAACAGCTTTGATTGGCTATGTTGAAAGCTAAAGAGTCTGATGGATCTTTGCGTACAAGACGAAACTAACAGGTACTTGAACAGGAAAGATGTTCAAAGATATGCTATGAATGCAGGGTAGCAAAGCTTTTGCTGATAGCCAGAAAAGAAATAATTTTTTTTACAGGTTAATTCTGATTTCTGATTAGTGGTTTTGATTCTCAAACATATTGAAGAGGGCGGGATGTGTATGGTATCGATAGCTGTTATTCCGAAACCATTCCTAGTTAATGAGTAATCAAGTTGTACTTCATCAGCTGTAGAGATTATCCAGTTTTAACATCCATGGAAAAATCTATGGGAAAAAATAATGAAGCCCAAGAACAACAGGCAGGAAGGGCACTGAAAGTCTGAAACCACCTGGCAGTGTTTGTTTCCTTAAGAAGAAGCACTTTACATGATGCAATCACGACAGAACCATCATCTAAGGAACTATTCAGTAACAAGTCCTGAGATTTTGTGACCATAAGAGATTAAAAGCAAAATTTGGCAATTCTAACAACAATAATAGTGGCATCTCAACTGAGGCCCGGCGATATTGATTCCAATCCTTACTTTCTGCATCAGCCCAATTCCCGAGTTACAAGTTTGTACTAGACTAGGGTTCTCATTAGCTCAACTACATGATCCTCGAGCCATTCTGGGAAGTGATTCCGAAGCACTACGATTGTGGTGCAGCAGCTCGTTGAAATGAGAATGCATCAGATAGGACATCCATGTTCGCGATAACTAACTTGTACATATTCATACAAAAACACAAACATGCCTCAAACGCTTTTGTTTCGGACTTCCTCGAGTTTCTTCAGTATCTCTCCTGGAGTTCTGTCCAACTCATCAGCAATTTTCTTTTGTACATCAATGGGCAAGGTGGGGAATTGTTCACACATATCTCCATCAATCACATCCTGCAAAAGACAACCCTTGAGAAACGCTTTAATGGTTTTGGCTCTCTTCTTTTGCATATATAAATCAGCAATGTAAAAGCAAATGACAACATATGACTTGATTTTTTACCTTAACAGGGAAATAGGAAGATCTGTAGGCCATATGGTTCCTTCCACACAATGGTGGATGGTCCTGTCTCAAGTGCATTTCCAGGTGTGAAAAGAAGTCGACATCATCCGTAGAATTGAACAACAGCAATGCCCCCAAGCTACCCATCATTGTGCCATATATGATAACGAGGAAGGTGTAACGACTCTAATAAAGTTCTGGTTTTTACCAACACAACAGAAGCATAACTCTTTTCATCTCCCTTTCTACATCATGTTCAGATTAAAGATACTTCAGAAAATAATATGATGTTGGATATTACTGCAATTCCGGTTTATGAACATAGAAGGGCCTTCACATGGAAGCCTGCAAAACAATGAAAACATGAGGGATTTTCTTCTGCTAACAGCACCATTAACACGGGTTAATTCGCTTCCGAAAGCTGTTAGTTGTTTATTCCTTAGAATAAGTACTCCCTTCATGGCTCAATCCCAAGAGTTTCAGTCGTGAACAAGATTTTCCAAGTCCCGTGTTTGAGCTTTTCTGAGAACATCCATTGCACTTCTCTACCACATCGTTTAAACCAAAGTGAAAGCAGCAGCAGGCTTGGAATAAGAAGGAACCTCTGTTTGAAATCCAATTCATACCTTTCTCGGCCTTTTGGCTAAGATCAAGTGTAGTATCTGTTCTTATCAGTTTAATATCTGATACGTGGGCCAATGGCCCGCACGATATTAAATTAATTTTTATAGGGGGAGAGGCCCACTACTGAAGCTTGCTTCAGGGGCCTTCTCGCGTGTCGCTCTTGTGTTGCACTACTGCATGGGCCTGGCGCACCCCACCAATTCTAGTCCAGACTTTACTAAGGATTTGCCTTGTGGCCCAACTGGACTCATCCTAAGCTCATGCGATCCGTTATTCTTTTGCCTGCTTTGTCGTCGGTTGAACTATGATGGGAGATGGCACAACACGATCACCGGAGAAAGATCAAAAGGTCAGAACAAGCAAAGCAACTGTGTTTCTTCCATTTTAATTTGACTAACCCAGATAAAGTGAAGCACTTGTCGTCTTCAGGAAAGCGGTACAATGCCCAAATGGCGACCATGAACCATCCACGGCGCAAGCTTTTTGCAGATAACAAAGGGAAAGTAAATCCCTCTTGTTTTTGTGTGTTGAGAAGTTTATGTAACGTTTGACTTTATTGGGTACTCAAAGTTTTATTCTAGAGTTCGAAGTAACTGTTAATACTTAATACCAATCATAATCACGATTGTCTCGTTGGAATAAAAGGTGAGTGTAGTGATGAATCGGTTTGTCCGTGTTCGTTTAAGGCATCTAAACCCTAGTTCCATCTTATAAGTAATAGAAGCTGCAAATCCCTTTTTCATCACTTCTGTGACCAATCATATATAGCTAGCTTCTTTACCGCCGAAATGGGATCTCCTTTATGGATTGTTATGTTAATGATTTCTGCAACTTGCACCGCGATTTGCAGAACGATTGAGGCTGATAAGATTGTGAAGTTGCCATGCCAGGGCAGCCACTAGTTAGCTTCCAGGCTCCAGCAGTATTCAGGGTATGTTACTGTTGATGAAACCCAGCAGAGGAAGCTCTTCTATTACTTTGTTGAAGCTAAGACAAACTCTACTTCCAAGCTTCTTGTTCTGTGGCTAAATGGTGGTACGTTGGTTGATTATCTACATTTTGATGCAACCCTTTTATCTTATTTGATCCTTTTCTTTCGAATATAGTATTACAGTAAAGACTCTTTTTTTGTTCTGCTTTAAGAATGGCTTGAGGTTGGTGTGTTCTGCTAATAGGGCCAGGGTGTTCCTCTATTGGAAGTTTGGAACTCGAGCTTTCACTGAGCATGGCCCTTTCAAGACAAATGGTTCAGGAGCTCTCCTAAAAAATTATTATAGTTGGAACAAAGGTGCCTTCACATCAATCTCAACTTGCCATATAGTGATGTGGGATTTTTTTTTTCTAGAAATACCATTAAAAAGAAGGAAAAACAAATTACAAAAATACTAGCCATTTACGATCAATAAGGTCTGTGGTCTAGGCCAGTGACCTCCATTGCATTGTTGGAGGGGTGTTGGGCTAAGATCTCCTCATAGTGGAAGAGCCTACGTCATATTTGTGGCAGCGAGGGCCTGCGTTCGTGCGGCCCCTACCCAATTCTAAGTCAAAAGTTTTTGGTTCGGTCCAGTCTTGCTTAAATTGGGCTCGACCCTATCTCTGTTAATGCGATGATTGTTTTTTGGTGTTTCTTTGAGATCGGCAATCATGACATACCTCGGCAAGGAAAAAATTAACCGTCTTTGTTGCATGGGAAATTCTGACCAGTATGTAAAGAGGGCGTGATGAATAAACACTTCATCAGATGGAGAGGATTATCCAGTGTTAAAATCCATGGAGAAATCTATGGGAAAAATAATGAAAGCCAAACAACAGGCATGAAGTTAGACCACCAGGCAGAGTTTGTTTCCTAAAAAAGCACTTTACATACTGCAATCACGACAGAATCATCATCTAAGGGACTATTCAGCATCAAATCCTGATATTTTGTGATTACAAGGATATGAAAAGCCAAATTTGACAATTCCAACATCACTAGTAATGGCATCTAAACCAAGGTGGGGCGACATTGATGTGATGCTGTAATGTTGTGATGGTATCAAAATCTTCATGCTGTGATGCTGTAAGCCACCTTGGAACGCTATCATCAGCAAATATGTAGAGTTGATTCTCATCCCGCCTATACTTGCATAAGTGGAAAGACTACCACAGCAGAAGAGAAAAGAACAAACAAGTGAATATACACACTTGCACCTAGCTCAATGTAAACACCACCATACCTCTTGGATGTCGCCCACATAAATGCGATCATGGTAGGCCTGAATAGAAATAATCGTGTTCGGGAAAAGCTTGTTCTCACATTTCTTGAGAAACCTCTTCTTCCCCGAGTCATATATATTCTGAGTGTAGAACCTATTCCAACAAGTAATCTACCTTGGAACTGGCACAAAGCAACTGGGACACCTTCCACTTGTGTCTTGTGCAAAAGCTCTAGGCTTAGGCTCGTTGGTGGGATCGGAGATTCGAGTACTAGTGTACAGAGGGGATCAAGATCCAGTTATTCCATTCTTCGGGACAAGGAAAATGGTTAATCGTTTGGCAACAGGGATGGGGTTGGACACTAGCGTGCCATACAAGGCATGGTTTGATTTTGACAAACAGGTGGGTGGGTGGACACAAGTCTATGGGGAGAACAATCAGTTGTCATTTGCCACCATTAGAGGAGCCTCTCACATGGCTCCATTCTCCTCTCCCAAGAGATCACTCGCAGTATTTGCAGCATTAATTTGTATTATCAATGATCTAATGTCATATCAGAATCAAGAAATCAATTACATGGAATGGAAGACTACTGTTTCATTGCCTCCAGAACCTGTACAAAAGGGAGTTCATGGATACCAGCTATATTTAATCAATCTTCCTTGTGCAATCTGATGCTCGGTTTCTTGTTTGACATCTAGAGCTTGCTATGAAACAAAAAGGTATTTGGAGTCTAGGAAGACTGTGATCAAAGCAATTCAGAAGGGTCTTGAAGTGTATGAACAGCAAGAAAACCACTTCATCAAAGACAACGTTGAGATGATCACCATGTTGACTGGAAGCTGAATCTGCTGTTTGTTGAGGCTCTGGTGTGCCTGTTGCCATCCAGTTCTCAATAAATCTCCTACCCTAGAAGCTGGTCATTGTCTCCAAGGTGAAACAGGTTTCTGCAGCAAGCGTGAAAGACTTTGCAGAGGTGGATGCATATCTGAACATGGTTTAGCTGCAAGGATATCCAAGCGTGAAAGACTTTGCAGAGGTGGATGCATATCTGAACAAATCCAGTGAGGACATCCAACTTCATCTCAAGAACTCGGAGCGGCATGCATTCAAGATATTGAGGAAGGTGTCTAGTGCCACTTTAGTTCTCAACATCCACAACCTGTAGTTATATCATGCAAACCACACTTGTACATGATTTAGCTGCAAGGACAAAATATGCTACTCAAAATTCATAATATATACATGGTCTCCAATTCCATGGTGAAAATTATGCGCTTCTCATTTTAGTTTATGGCTCCTTAATCCTTATACTTCTTCTCCAGTTTAGTTACCTTCTGCTTTGAAAAGTGACTGCAAATTTCTCCTGTCATCAACACTGAAAAGTTCTGAATATGTTATGAGCTAAACCAAAATAAAATTAAAGAGGCCTTCACATGGAAAGACTAGCAGAAGTCTGTGTTTGAGCTTTTCTGAGATGGTCCATTACAGTTCTCTACCACATCGTTTAAAACAAAGTGAAAGCAGCAACAGGCTTGGAATAAGAAGGAAGCTCTTTTAACATTCTAATTCATACCTTTCTCGGCCTTTTGGCTAAGATCAAGTGTAGTATCTGTTCTTATCAGTTTAATATCTGATACGTGGGCCAATGGCCCACACGATATTAAATTAATTTTTATAAGGGGAGAAAGCCCACTACTGGAGCTTGCTTCAGGGGCCTTCTCGCGTGTCGCCTTTGTGTTGCACTACTGCATGGGCCTGGCGCATCCCACCAATTCCAGTTCAGCATTTTTTCTTTTTTAATGGGCTTTGATGAATTTATGATTGCTCAAGTTAATTATTCAGCACAGAAAGTTGAGTTTTGTAAGGACCCGACTAATCTCTCCCCCATTCGATTGGTTAATGTTCAGCCTGCTTTGCTCACATTTCTCGGCCCAATCCAATGCCGCGAAATTGGGATGGCAATAGCACTACAGATTACTGCCGCGAATCGTCGGTGACATGGCGAAATACTTCCCATTCTAGACAGTAAAGTCGTTCAGCTGAGATCAAACCAATGGTTGAACTATAATGAGAGAAGTTGGGAGATACACACAACAGTCAACAAGATCGTCGAAGGAAGATGTGCGATAATGCTGAAACGCAGCTGTTTTCTACGCAAAAGGGTCATTCGAGGAATCTGGGCTTTCACCTTGTGCATGCTTTGGAGAAAAATCAAAAGGTGAGAGAGAGCCAAGCAACTTTGTTCTTCCATTTGTCTTGTTCGCAGGCCCCAATTTGACTAACCCAGATAAAGCGAGGCACTTATCGTCTTCTGGAAAGTGTGGTACAACGCCCAAATGGCGACCATGAACCATCCACGACACAGGCTTATTGCAGACGACAAAGGTAGTTTTGAGAAGTTTATATAACGTTCGTTCTAGAGTTCAAAGTCACTGTTAGTACCAATCATAATTTTCATAATCACGATTCTCTCGTTGAAATGAAAGAGTTAAGTGTAATGATGCAACAGTTTGTCCGTGTTCGTTTTAGGCCTATAAACCATCTATAAGTAACAGAAGCTGCAAATCCCTTTTCATCACTTCTATGACCAACCATGCAGCTAACTTCTTCACCCCCAAAATGGGCACTCGTTTATGGATTGTAATGTTAAAAAATTCTGCAACTTGCACCGCGATTTGCAGAACGGCTGAGGCTTCATACTAGGCTGATAAGATTGTGAAGTTGCCAGGGCAGCCAGAAGTTAGCTTCCAACAGTATTCAGGGTTTGTTGTTGTTGATGAAACCCAGCAGAGGAAGCTCGTCTACTACTTTGTTGAAGCTGAGACAAACTCTACTTCCAAGCATCTCAATCTGTGGCTAAATGGTGGTGCGCTGGCTGATTATCTCTGTTTTGATGCAACCCGTTTCTCATCTTTGATCCTTCTCTTTCGGCTATAAGTTGGAGTTTAGAGTAAATACTTTTTTTTAACTTCTTCCGCTTTAAGTATGACTTGAGGTTGGTGTGTGCTGCTAATAGGGCCAGGGTGTTCCTCTATTGGAACTGGAGCTTTCACTGAGCATGGCCCTTACAAGACAATTGGTTCAGGAGCTCTCCTGAAAAATGACTATAGTAATGTAACTTGTCAGATTAAGTACAAAATCCAAACGAGTTGTCTGTGCACTTCTTATTATCAGCAAAGGATAATTTGGCATTCCTACAACAATAGCTAATCCAGTTTCCCGAATATAAGAACATAGATCTTTATCTCGCCTGAGAAAGCTATGCTGGTATGTTTTATCTAGACTCCGTTGTTAATAGAGCATCTTATTCAAATATTTTAGAATTATGATTCTAATTTCTTCTTTCCCCAACAGGACACTATGTCCCACAACTAATTGTTGAGTCAAGACCAAATCTCAGCCTAAAAGGCATAGTAGTAAGTATACCTGCCAAAATATACTTTGACATATCAACAAATCATGATGCTTGAAAGACATGTCAATGATTATCTTCTTGTGTTGCGTTGTATTGTAGTAATTTTCAGATAGGGAACCCATTGCTGGAGTTCAACACAGATTTCAACGGAGAAGGAAAGTTCTACTGGTCTCGCGACTTGATATCAGACCACACCTATCACCTTGTCAACAAAATGTGCAACACCCCCCAACTCAGGAGAGAGGGTGATTCAAACTCCTTTTATGAGCCTTGTAAAATTGTTGCAACCCAACTTGGTACAGAAATGCCTAGTCGAAACTTCGACATATATGACATCACTTCAGATGTATGGTTAGCAAACGATGATGGGTCATCATCATTCAAACAGTCTCTGGAAGCAAATTTTCGTCCATTTGCATCCCTCAAGTCCAGCCAGAGAACCAGCAAAAATCTTGTATTAGTTCCCCTTGACTATGATCAACACGAATGTACCCGAATCAACGATACATGCAACAATACTCATCATTGGCGGGTTTTCGATTTGTCTAGTCAATGCATAAGGTTGGAGATTCGGCCACAGACCTTTGTCCACAAGGCGAAACAGACAAGTCTTGAACATGGAGGATGTTTAGCATGCTATGCATGCCCAGCTTTAGACCTGGCAATCGGGTCAGGTTGGGTAATTTCGGGTTGGGAACTTCGGTTACGGGTCCGGTCATGTTTGGTTGGCTTATTTTGGGTCAAATATTGACCCAACCCATTCGATTTCGGGTCGGGTTACAGGTCATTTCGGGTTATGAGCGTCCTCAGAAACAATATCAAACATGCTTCATATTTTCTTAAAGAACACAAATTTTCACATATGCATGACAATAGTTTACCTAACACATGTCAATCAACATATTCTCAAATCCTCCCACGCTAATTAAATGAAATATAAATTGCGCAAATCGTCAAAAACAATCACAAGATTAATACTACTACAAGAAACACATGATATTTGATTATCCTTAAACTCCAAACATGTCATTCAAATCCTTGTGATTTTTTTTTAACATCTCACCAATTTATGAGTGATTTATCATATTTTGTGAGTAATATATTAAATGGAACGGGTCTAATGGGTCGACCCGCTAACCCACCCAACCTGACCTGAAAAATTATGGGTTATCGGGTTCGGGTCATTCGGATTTCGAGTTACAAAAATTTATAGTTTTCGTGCGGTTTCGGGTCAGGTCAACGAGTCAGGTTGTAATTTGCCAGTTCTACCCAGCTTGTAGGCATCTCCACCTAGAGAAGCTGCAGCTAGTAAGCCAAATAGAATAGATTGAATATTTTCCAGTCTCAAATTATTAACTAGACCAACTCTCTAGAGTTGCTTCCTCTTCTATATAAGGTATCAACGTCTCAACTTCCCTTGCACTGTGATGACCTATGACCGGAACAATCTGGAGAATCCAACGATCCGAGTGGTGGGATCATTAGTGAGTTCGGGTTTCTAGGTAGTAATTTACAGCGGGAATCAAGACTCGGTGCTGCCATTCATTGGGACGAGGACTTCGGTGAATCGTCTGGTCAAAAAGATGGATTTGAACACAACTGTGTCATACAGGCCATGGTTTGATGGTGAAAAGCAAGTAGCTTTTTGCCTACATTTTTGCTAATGCCAATCCACATTATCTATTACATAACTATTAACTTCCTTTTCCTGTTGCTGTGATTTGTGATTCAGGTTGGTGGATGGATGGACACAGATTTATGGTGGGAATAAGCTTGCATTTGCAACTATAAGAGGAGTTTCTCACATTGCCCATTCTCGTCACCAAGGAGATCCCTCTCATTGTTTGCTACTTTTGTAGCTAGGAAACCTTTGGCAACTTGAGATCTCTCAACTGGACGCCTTCGAACATTGTAGTGCCTTTCACAATCCGTTGCAAAGTGGGAATTCTCCAAGGTGTAATTATTTCAATGATTCTCTTTTAACTTAAGCAGACATCATAAGTCAATGACAACTAAAATCATGTTCCTCACATTGTAAACAAGGAACAGTCACTTGGTTGGGTTTTGTCGATTTAAGTAAATAGTTCCATCTAGTTCCCAGCAGTATTCAGGTTATGTTACTGTTGATGAAACCCAACAATGGAAACTCTTCTGCTACTCTGTTGAAGCTAAGGCAAACCCCACTTCCAAGCCCCTCGTTCTTAAATGAACTTTTGAGTTTTGAGATCGATTGATGGACACACGACTATGCAAAGAATAACAAACTTGCATATGCAACTATTCCCACACGGCTTCATTCTCCTCCCCCACTAGATCACTCACTTTATTTGCTGCATTTCTTGCTGGGAATCCTCACCATGGATCAAGGACTATCGAAAAATATGCACTCTGTGATTTTTCTACAAGCAGGCCAACTCCTCATCACGTTCTTAGCATTCTAATCGCCATTACCCTAATCATCACAACTCATACCGGTCCTTGTAAAAACCTTAAGAACATTCAGCCAAGCTCTTCATCAGATGGTGTCAATGGTGATGTGAGGAATGACTGCAGAGAGGTACAGAGAGATGGGGAAGATGGAAAGATTAGTTGGCAGCGGGAGGGAGGTGTAGTAAAGATAGAAGAAGTTTTGGAAGTGGCAAGTGAAAATACCACATTTCCGAGCACAAGAAGTTTAGAAGGGATAGCGGACTATAAAACAAGAGTTGGGTGCTTCTTCACAACATACTTACCTGGACGGGATCTACGGACGATCAGTAAGGCTTGTGGTCTAGGTCAGTGACCTCCATTGCACTTCTGGAGGGGTGCTGGGCTAAGGTCTCCCCATAGTGGGAGAGCCTACGTCATAATTTGTGGCAGCGGGGCCTGCGTTCGCGCGGCCCCTACCCAATTCTTAGTCCAAATTATTTGGCTCGGCTCGGTCTGGTTAGTTTGGGCCGATAAGCTAAAATGTTAATTCTATTATATATTATTATTGATATACGTCGGCAAGGAAAAAGATAATTATCTTTGCTTTGGAAAAGGCGTTTTCATTCTCGTAAGTCATAACTCTATTTAAGATGGCGTGATGAATAAAGAACACTTCATCAGCTGGAGAGATTATCCAGTATTTAACATCCATGGGGAAAATAATGAAAGCCAAAGAAGACCAGGAAGTTGGACCACCAGGCAGAGTTTTGTTTCCTGCAATCACGACAGAATCATCATCTAAGGGACTATTCAGCAACAAATCCTGATATTTTGTGATTACAAGGATATGAAAGCAAAATTTGGACAATTCCAACATCACTACTAATGGCATCTGAACCAAGGCGGGGGGCGACATTGATCCCAATCCTTTCTTTCAATTCCTGTGTTACAAGTTTGTACTAGACTAGGGTTCTCATTAGCTCAACTACGTGACCCTCCAGCGATTCTGGGAAGTGATTCCGAAGCACTGCGATTGTGGTGCAGCAACTCGGTATGAAACGAGAATGCATCGAATAGCACATCCATGTCCACGATAACTAACTCATACATATTCGTACAAAAACACAAACATGCCTCAAACGATCTTGTTTCGGACTTCCTCGAGTTTCTTCAGTATCTCCCCTGGAGTTCTGTCCAACTCATCAGCAATTTTCTTCTGTACATCGATAGGCAAGGTGGGGAACTGTTCACACAGATCTCCATCGATCACATCCTGCGAAAAATATATCCGAGAAATGCTTTACCTCTCTTCTTTTGCGTATGAATCAGCAATGTAAAAGCAAATGAGAACATATGACTCGGTTTTTACCTTAACAGGGAAATAGGAAGATCTGTATGCCATATGGTCCCTTCCACACAATGGTGGATGGTCCTGTCTCAAGTGCATTTCCAGGTGTGAGAAGAAGTCGACATCATCCCTAGAATTGAACGGCAGCAATGCCCCCAAGCTACCCATCATTGTGCCATATATGATGCACTCTCCACCACCAGGAATCAAAGATGCCTTCTGGACACTACTAACCACGTCACCGACATGAAACTGTACTATTTCTTCAACCTTGTTAGGAGCTCCATTAAGCTTTCCTTGCTCCCATTTTATCTTCCCGCCCGTCGGATCTTCCTCAATCTCATCAGACACATCCTGTGGCAATCTTGCAAAATAGATGTTCCCAAACTTGTCTGCACCTGCCATGGTATCAAAATCTACATGCTGTGATGCTGTCAGCCACCTTGGAACGCTATCATCAGCAAATATGTAGAGCTGATTCTCATCCCGCCTATACTTGCAGAAGTGGAAAGACTACCACAGCAGTAGAGAAAAGAACAAACAAGTGAATATTATTCAAGCCAAGCTGTAAGATGCTAGGGGGGAAAACAGAGAATATACACACTTGCACCTAGCTCAATGTAAACACCACCATACCTCCTGGATGTCGCCCACGTAAATGCGGTCACGGTAGGCCTGAATAGAAATAATCGTGTTTGGGAAAAGCTTGTTCTCACATTTCTTGAGCAACCTCTTCTTCCCCAAGTCATATAGTCTGAGTGTAGAGCCTATTCCAGCCAGTAATCTACCTTGGAACTGGCACAAAGCCACTGGGACACCTTCCACTTGTGTCTTGTGCAAAAGCTCTAGCCTTCTCCCTTCATCCACAAATTTATAAATGTGAATGAATCCAGCAGCCAACGTTTTCTTTGGCCAGAACTGCAACCCCTTAGCTGTACCAACAGCCAAAAGAGCACCATGTTCCTTATCATGGAAATTAACCGTGCATACACTGAATGCAGCTTCACTGTCCTGAAGTTCAAGCAGACAGGTCGTGGTTGCTGACCTAGGGTCCAGAACTCTGATGCAAGATACCCACTTGTCAGACTCAGCCTTGGGGTAGCCATATTGCTCATCTGAGAGGGGATCCTCTTTGTCTTCATCATCACCATTCTCCATCTGCTCATTGGATGTTCCATTTTCGCCCATACCAGCAGCCTCAAAACACTCTTTTTTAGCAGCTTCGCGTTCCTCTGCTGTATATGCTCCCTGATCACTCTCAACAATAACCAGAAGCTTTCGCTTGGGTTGAATTACAAACTTCCTCGGAGTGTACCTGAGAGGAATTGCAGTTTCATTAAACGTTTCACCCAACCTCTCGATAGTGAAAATCCGGAGTGCATCACCAGCAACAGCAACAACACCTTCTGCACATTGATCGGATGAGAATGAAGCGGCATATTCAAGAGTCTCGTATGAAAGTGGGGTTAACAGGAAATGCCCTTGGTGAATATAACCAAGCCAGGGTCGACTTGATAAGCATAGCATTGCACGGCGACCTCTCACAGCTATTGAAAAGAGCTTTGGAGCCCTCAATCCTAAGAATCGGGAACGAGAATCAGAAAGCTGGCCAGTCACCATATCCACCACTGTCCTAAACAGAACCCCAGACTGCAACCCAGCATTGAGGAAGAGACTAGCTGGATGATCAGCTCCATCTTCACCACCCATTGAGGCCTGCACCTCAAGGAATAGAAGAGATTCTGGAATTGATGAAACACTTTGCACACTCAGAATCTGCATGCAGTCATCGGGATCCAAAGACAAGATACGGATAATGTTGTCATATGTACCAACTGCAAGGAACCTTGACCTCTGCCTTCCTTCAGGAACTGGGGCAATGTCCAAACAAGCTACATCTCCAGACATCTCATGCTTTTCCACCTCCATTAGTTGACCAGTCATGTCCACCTCAAAATATATAAGTTCCCCTCCACTTAAAGCAATAACCACTTGTAGTCTGTTGGAGCCAACTTTCACAATTGTCCTTTTTCCAGGAGTTCTCCACTCGTTAATACGTCCGTCTTCCCTTATATGCCTAATACCATTTGGGTGAACTTGCATTAATGAATCGTCACCGATCAGAGAAACAGCAAGAGAAGGAGTAGTATCAAGAAACCCACTATCACTAACTTCCTCAACTGTCTCTCCGATAGAGAGAACCAGAGTTGCATTAGTAAAAGATACAACAATGTATGCATCAAATTCATCACTGGCATTCTTTTTCACAGTCCAAACTGCGCTTGGCACACCAGGAAGCTGAGACACAGCCATCTCACTTACAGCCAAGCCAGGCCTCAAAATTCTCAAGGATGATCGAGGCCCTCGGCCACAAAGGGTAAATATCTGAGGTGTTTCTTCATCAAAAAGATTAAAAATTTTCATGTCCATAATAGGCATCAAACTCTCAACCTGGTCAATTCTAACAAGATTCTTTAACCCCCTTGGCTGAAAAAACACAGGCTGGAAGCCCTCCTCGGTTTCCATCAAAGTAGCTGAAGAGGCCTCCACATCTGGGTCCTCACCAATAGCCTGAAATTGATACAAAGCATGATTTCCAAACTCTGATGCAGCAAATAGAAAGCCTGATTTCAACACACACATTGAAGCTGTCACTGGAATCGTATCAAAATACTTTATCTTGATCTCTGAAACCTTGTCATTCTCATGCTCCAGGGTGACTTTGAAAATGTCCCCATATTCAGTCTGCAACAAGAAAAAGAACATGGACTTCTGTTTATGCGTTGCTGCAGAGACTATCAACACACCACGCTCAGCAGGCAAATCAGCACGCCTAGGAATCACTGCCCTTACATCGGGATGTCCTTGATTCTTGTAGATAACAAAATTTTCAGCACAAATCAACACTCCACTTGGTCCATCTCCGCCACCAGGAACCGTAACAAGCATATTAGCACCGTTATCGACAGGCTCAGACCACTTCCGAGAAACATGGTTAAGCCCCAAATCAAGTTCATAAAAAGTCAAATTCTTCTGTGCCTCATTTGCAGCCTGCCCTGTTGCATCCTGGTCAGCCTCCGAATAATCCAACTCAATAGCAGCAAAGATTGGATTATCAAACCCACAATCAATCCCACAAATGTGATACACGATGGTGTGCGACTTATGTGCTTCCAAAGGCGAGGATATCGTTAACCTAGCTGCTGTATCCCTATTCAACACATAGACCAACTTCTGCTTCTCGCAAGCTCCAATCATCACTGCCCTCCCCTTGGGGTCAACCGCCAAGTACTGACCAGGAACTATCCTCCTGCACCCGGACTTCCCAAACGTCTCCTGGTGAACTTTATCAAACACATTCTTCTCCTTGTTGTACTCCAAAATCACAATCCTCCCGGAATCGGAACCCACGACGATGTAATCCTTCTGAGATCCAGTAAGCCTGAACTGAGCTAAGGAGCAAATAGCACCGAATATTTCGACGGAGAGAATGGTCTGGAGCTTACCGGTGTCGTCGGGGCGTAGGAGGTCGAGAAGCTTGCCCCGCGCAACGACGATCTCCTGGGACTTGCCGCCGGAAAAGCTGCCGTTAATGGCGGCCACCACGCCGGTGGCTCGCTGAAGAGTGAGGCTGTAGAGATACATAGCTGCAACAGCGGTAAGCTTGCCCTCAAGGGTCGGGAGACTTCAATGGAGAAAGCAGCGAGGGAGAATTAGGAGGGAAATGTGTCGTGTCAGTGAAGCTGAGAGATGGATTCGAAGGTTTTAGGGTTTAACGGACCGACTATGTGGTAGTGTGAACCGGCGGTGTTCGATTTGGAAAATTTTGTCGGTTTCTTAATTTTATAATTTCTCTTCTTACGGTATTCAACGAAATTTTTTTCTCTTAACGTGCTATGTGTTCTGGGCTTCTGGCCCAATCGCCTATAATAGTAGGAACTAGGAAAGAGTTCATAACTTCTACCCAAATGCTATGCGCCATGATGGGCTTCTGGCCCAATCGTACATAATAATAAGGTAGTTCAACTCCAGGGGGCTCCAAAAAAAGGTGGGAAGAAATTTCCTATTCTGGAAATGTTAGAGGGTTTAACAAACCCTCTAAAAGGAAGGACCTGACTAGGGTTCTCCTTAAGTATAGAGTAGAAGTGGTTGTTGTTATTGGGACAAGAGTTAGGAAAGCAAAAGCTGAGGAAGTTGTAGAGGGTTTTTGCCAGGACTGGAAGAGACATCTTAATTATGTTGATTCTGAGCTTGGAAGAGTATGGCTTTTTTGGGATCCAGAAGTGGTTGATGTAAGGGTTTTGCTCACGGGGAAACATTTTGTGCACTGTATAGCTAGATCGGTTAGTGAGGAGTCATTGTTTTTCACGGCGGTCTATGGCTATAATGATGAATTGGAAAGGAGACAAACTTATCAAGACTTAGCACCAACAAAGATCAGTGGTGCTCCATGGGTAGTGAGTGGAGACTTTAATGCGGTATTGGCTCCTGAGGAAACCACTAATCTAAGTGTTCGAACTAGTTGTATGGATGATTTCTCTAATTGGGTAGCTGCAATGGACCTAATTGATCACAGAATGGTGGGGCCTCAATTCACATGGTCAAATAAGCAAGTTAATAATCCGATAGCAAGGAAGTTAGATAGAGCATTGGCCAACCCAACGCCGCCTTCCACCCACCACCACCTTCATCAGAACCTCACCTTCCTAATGCAGAACTTACTCAATGCAACATACCATGCAGCCACCACAAAGCTCACCAGCCAAATCCCATCTCCAAAGCCTCTAAGGCCTCTTCCCTCCAAGCACAGGCATTCTGATCCCACAACAAACTTCCGTTGTCCCAAAGGTTTCAGCCGCCGCCGGATTCACTAAGCAAGCCTTGATGACTCCACAATTGGCTTGCTCTCATTCTCAGCCCGAGCCGCCCTGGAGGAGTTTGAGTTTGGGAGCGCAGCAGAGATAAACGAGGAGTTGTTTACTAACACAAGTTATGGTTCCATCGTCGTTGGGAGAGAGGAAGGTGTGTATGTGGCTAGCTCGGAGGATGGAACCAGCCACATGGTGGCAATGAATGCAAACTTGAACGGTGGTGGGAGTAGCTGCAGGGGTGGAGATCAGAAGGGAATCAATGGCGATGGGTTGAGGTTTTTCAGGGTGCATAGCAAGAGAAATAAGGGCGAGTCTCACATTGCTGTGATTGGTGGGGCGGGGAAGTATGAGGGTGCTAACGGGTTTGCTGTAATGGAAGTTGTGGATTTAAGCTCTAATTTTGCTATTGTTGAAGAGTACAGAAGGGATGAGTTCCTTTTGTTCACTGTGTATCTCGGGACTCGGCTAATCCTTTGAGTTGATATAAACTTAAGAGATCATGCTAGAAAAAACAGCTCGATTGCTTCCCTATGGAGGATGACTATCGACATGCTAATCCGCTCTCCCTAACAAGTAATCAAGTCTGCAATATCTAGACCATGTTTGATGACGCGTTAAAATTGGAAACTGCTCAAAATCAACACGTTAGGAGGCAAAAAGAAAAAACCATGAAGTGAACTCTATGACTGCCTCTATGTTCCCGCCTACGTTAGGCGATGAAAGCTCAATTGGCTAACATTGCACTTGTTTGAATAAACAACCATCATGATAGACTGAAGAATTGACCAAAACACAGTAGCAGCAGCAGATAACAACGGGGAATCAAAGAACTATATCCTATGTTCATAATTGGGGACTATCCTACAGAAACATGATTTTAGATCCACATTCTAGACTATAAAGGCCATCAAGATAGCAGAGAAGGGTTAGTAGACTTGGTATAGTCTAACCCTCTTCAAGATCTCTGAGTAAAGGCTGGTGAAACTCTGAATTCTGAAATGAACCTTATTAGTAAACTGAATTCACTACTGCAATTCTGAGAATCTTGCTCTTTTGCCCATACCCATATAGCCCAGTTGCCCTTTTATCCAAATCATCGAAAGCACTAAAACCATCTGCGCTCATAGGAGTTGAATGGAACAATAAAACTAAACTAGACTCTGAAAATGCAGATGGAATTTCAATTGGTGATTCAGTTCATGCTTCTATATCTTGTAATTCATCAAAGTTTTGAAATGACCAACAAACAAACGAGGTAGTGTGAATACAGTAAGCCTACTTCTACAGCTGATATCCAAATTGAATAAAAGAAGAACTACATTCTGAGACTTTCCCCTGGGCTGGTTGCAGCAAGAGGTTCCAAAAAATACCCATCTGTTCCACCCAAGTAAACCTACTCAACTATCCAGCAGAATAAGTACATGCTCTTTGATGTTAAGGGGAGCAACGACTAAACTAAGTTCAATTATGATCAAGATCAACTAACCTGAATCTCATGGTTCAGTTGAGGAATTGCAGTTCAGGTGCTCACCAACTCCATCTCAACAGCTCCACAGGTCGAGCAGAGAGACTCAAAGCCGCACTAGCAAAAGCTATATATACTCTCAAGTTTTCCACTCCCTTCACCATCATCAAACTCCATTTCAAAACCTTCACAATCCATATCCCTTCCCAAAATTCCAACTAGTTTCGCCTTCTGTAATCCCAATGGCGAAACCCTTTGCCAGTAGCTTCTGCCTTCTCCTTCTGGCAGCCATTGCTCTAATGTCCTGTGCCAATGCTGCCAGACTCCTTGACGAGCTCAACCCAACTCCCTCTTCAGCATCAACTCTGGCTCCCACCACCGCATTACCAAGCGGCCCGATCCCCGCCGCCGCCGCGCCGGTAGATGATGACGACTCCGACGAATCAGCTGACCCACCACTCCCCGACACCGAAATCACTCCTCCAGCGGTCCCCGCCCCTGCCGCCGACGAAGCACCGCCGGCCACTCCTCCTCCTGTTGCAGAGGAGGAAGCCCCAATTCCCAGCCCCACCGCTCTTCCAGCTTCTCCGGCGGCAGCCACCACGGCCGCCACGGTGGCAGCAGGTGCCCCAGCGCTGTCCTTCTTTATGCACGACATCCTGGGAGGAACCCACCCGTCGGCCAGAGTAGTCGCCGGGCTAATCGCGAGAACCGACATCAACGGAATCCCATTCTCCACCCCAAACAACAACATCTTCCCGCTCCAAGGAGGAACCCCATTGCTGAATCCGAACAACATCAACAACCTAATCAACCCAAACACCGCCCCCTTAATGACCGGCCTGAACCCCGGCAGCGCCAGATCCCAACAGACCACCAACACCGTCCTCCAGAACGCCGGCAGCGGCGGCAGCAGCGTCGTCAATCCGGCGAGCGGCAGCCAGCCGTTCGTCACCGCCGGGCAGCTCCCCGCGGGGCTGACCCTCCAGAAGCTGATGTTCGGGTCGATTACGGTGTTCGACGACGAATTGACGGAGGGCCACGAACTTGGGTCGGCGGTTTTGGGGAAGGCGCAAGGGTTCTACCTGGCGAGCTCGCTGGACGGGACCAGCCACACGCTGTCGCTGAGCTTGTTGCTGCACGGACACGGCGGGGAGAAAGAGCATGAGGCGGTGGAGGATACGATTAGCTTCTTCGGGATTCACAGGAACGCGTCGCCGGTGTCGCACATCGCGGTGGTGGGCGGGACCGGGAAGTATGAGGATGCCAAAGGGTACGCGACGATTGAGACGATTCAGCAGGAGGATCAGCATGTTACCGATGGGGTGGACACCATTACCCATATCAATGTTTATCTCTCTGAGTAGAAGGGAGAGGAGGAAGAAGAGAGGGAAATGGGGCTTTGGGTTTCATCTTTCAATTGTGTGCTCTACTTGTGAGAATTTGTATTTCTTTGGACTTTATATGGTTAATTAATCTACCGATGTTATGGTAAATCACAAAACCTCAATAGTAATGACGAGCAGGTTTTTTACTAAACATATAGTAATAACGATAGTTAGTAAATACTCCGTTTAATACACGTATATATATTCGTATGTACTTTATCCGTTTAAATTTTAAAACTTCTGTATCTGTATTATTGTCAAGTCGTTTCATTTTTGTACGTTCATTTTATGGCTCTCGTATTAAATACGTATAAAACCTATATAACACGTTTAATATCCGTATTTAATGAATTAAATTATTAACTTCATCGTTATTTTTATATATTTGTATTTTTAAAATATTTATTTTTATATATTTATGACTATTAACGTACTATTAAACGTAACATTAGCATAGAAACAAAGTAAAATATCCATACGTAACTTTTCCGTACCGTATTTTACTAACTATGATGACTAATGAATGAAGAAAATTGAAAGAGAAACGTTACAACTTACAAGTGTTGTTTTTCTTTTAAGAAAAATTATTTTACTTAACTATTTAATAAATAGTTGTTGAAGAATATCATTTAGTGATAGGAATGGAGATTTAATCGTGATTCAATCATTTTATATCGCTAAATATTATTCAATAATTAAACATTTGAAATTATATTTTTTAGTCTACAATATGATTTCATCAATCTTGACTAGGCATTAGTCTTTTTTCTCTGGCTTTATAAACTGTTAATAATTTTAACTTATGTTAACATTGAGAAGATCTGACCCGTAGCTTAGAGTGGAGACTGGAGAGGTTCACTCGGCCCAAATTAGAATTCATAGGTGTAATTGGGTCCAAATGCGAAAGTCTGATAAGATTTTTTATTATTTCAGCCCTTTGGCCTAAATATTTTGCACGCATTATGGAAAAAAGAAAAATACATTATTTGCTCAGCAAGAAGCCAAAAATCGTGAGATAGAAGAGGAAATCTTGTTCAGCAAATCAGTCCAAACGGGAAACGAAATATAACTGATTAATATGCGTATGACAATTTTGTCCTTCCCCGGAAAACTCTAGAACCCCTAGGATTCCTATTTCAGTAATTCCACTCCGTCAACAAGCATACACACTTCAAGAAAGTGAGTGAGCAAATTAGCCTTCCAACGATCAATCCACATTGCAAAAATCTAGCAAACGCAATCGAGCACAGCCGAAAATCCGCCGCGAATCATGGCCACCGCAACGAAATTCAAGATCAACGGCCGCACACTTGCTCCGGAGGTCCCACTGCCGTCTCCCTCCGCCACCGTCCTCGACCTGAAGCAGGCCATCCAGTCCATGCTCGGCGTCCCCGTCGCGAGGCAGAGGCTCTTCCACAAAGGCGACGGCGAGCTCCTCAACCACCGCACGATCCAGTCGTACAATCTGAAAGCAGAGGAGAGGAAGTCGGTCGCGAATCTGGATCTGACGGTGGAGCCGCTGCCGAAGAAGAGGAGAGGCGAGAGGATCTCGTTCGTGGTGAAGTGCGGCGACGAGAAGGCTACCTTGAACCTCCGGGAGACCGACACCTTGCGTGACCTGAGGTGGGAGATCTATGGCAGATTCAAGACCTGTACTCCGACCGAATTGCGCTGTGCCGGAGTCACGCTGCCTTGGCCCGTCTGCCACGGGGATGATTCTGATGATGTCGATCTGTACGAGTACTATCTCTCGGAAGGCACGGTGTTTGAGGCTGCGGCGGCGAGGCTTGAGTCGAGTCACATCTACGGTCCGAAAACTTTCCCTCCTTCCTTCTACAACTCTCAGTGATACTCTGATCTCTGAAACACATGAATGGAGCTGATTTCCGTTTTCTCTGTTCCCTCAACCCCTATCGATTTCCTAGCATCTTGTTTTCTTTCGATGGCGTAAGGTTTAGAAAGTCTGTAATTCCTTGTTAGACCTCCCCTGCTTGTACTGATCTTGAGAATGCTGAAGTAGAATTGTATGTTGATGAACTTTCATGGTGGTTTGTTTGTTAATTTCTTCGTCGATGATCAAATTCTTGAAGATCTTCCGTCCTTGTGAAGTTCTGCAGAAAGTAGAAACCCCTGGCTATCTGCAAACTAGACCTCCCCTGTTTGTATGGATCTTGAGAATGCTTTAGTAGAATTGTTTGTTCATGCAGTTTCATGGCAGTTTGTTAATTTCTTCGTCGATGATCGAATTCCCTCGCAAATTTCTGCAGAAAACTAGAAACCCTAGCTATTTGCTAATTGATATTTTATCAGGATTCCGATTAGTTATCCTCCTAATTAATATATTTAATTAGAGTTCCGATTCCAAGAGTAGTTGTACTCCTCTCCAAAGTCCAAACCCTAAATCACCGTTACTTATAAATTATAAGAGACCGGGATAGGGAAGCACCGAGCTCAGTTCGTCCCGGAAACAATGTCCACGGCGGTGATATACAAAATCCACGGCCGAAAAGTGGTGCCGGAAATCAGATTCGCCTCGCCGATGTCCTCCACCGTGCTCGACCTCAAAGAAGCCATCGAATCCCGAGTAGGCGTCGCCGTCGGCAGGCAGAGGCTCTTCCCCAAAGGCGGCGGCGGAGGAGAGCTCCTCAACGACCGTACTCTGGGATCGTACAAGTTGCGGAGAGATGCGGCGGAGGACGGGAAGGAGGCGGCGCCGGCGGTTGTGGATCTGGACCTGACGGTGAGCCGTTGCGGAAGAAGAAGAAGAAGTCGGGGGACCAGGAGAAGATCCCCTTCGTGGTGAAGTGCGGCGGCAAGGAGGCGACGGTGATCCTCCGGGAGAGCGACACCGCTGAGAAGTTGTTCTGGGAGGTGGCCGCTAAACTCGAGCTGTGCAGTTGGAACCTCAAGCTGCGGTGCTGCGGGAAGGATCTGGCTCGCGACGGTACCAGGCTGTATGAGTACTACCTGTCGGAGGGGACGGTGGTTGAGGTTGCGGCGGGGGAAGGTTCTCACCGGAACCGTGACCTTCCTCCTGGATGCAGAACTTTCCCCCCTTCCTTCTACAACTCGTAGGCCTCGGCCTCCGCCCAGGCCTTCCTCGTGATCGTGTGTGTGTCTCCGATTTGGTCCTTTTCTTGAACCTTTTTTTTCTTTCTTCCCTCTTTCATATCATCGATTCATGTTGAGTAGGTTACGGGTCAACCGGTTGGTTTTCAGTCAACGTAGATTCAATTGAGTTGACTAAGGATTCTGGAGTATTATGCTGGTGGTTCATACCCTCTCTTTAAGACACGTATATGTACGGGCCTACCCTCCGTTTAAGACACGTATTGTATTTGTACGTATTTTATTCGTTTAAAATTTTTGTATTCGTATTATTGTCAAGTCGCTTCATTTTTCCTTGTTCATTTGATGGCTCCCGTACTAAATACGTATAAAACTCATATAACACGTTTATTATCCATTTTTTTGAATTAAATTATTAACTTTATTATTATTTATTTATTTAAAAATTAATTAATTTATATCTTTATAACTATTAACGTACTATCAAACGAAACTTGAGTTTAGAGACAAAATGTATTATAAGTAACTTTTCCATACCGTATTTTAGTAACCATGTGCCTTCGGTCTTTCATCGGCTCAAAACTCACCGGGGCTAAGAAAGGGGAACTCTGTCAAACCCGAGCTGACCGAGGATCTGTCACGGTCGACCTGGTTTCAAGTTTCAACTGTCCGGTCAACCCGAATTTTTAAAAACCATATCTGAAAGTGATGGGCCTAATGTCAAACGTAGCTCGAACACTGTAGTTATTTCAAATTGGGCTAAATATCTTGGCCCAATCTCAAGCGTATATCCAACTAGCCCAAGAGCAAGGGCCGCTGATTGGTACGGTAAGTGTGGACGTTGAAACGACGACGTAGAGAAAGCAGGTGGGGGAGTGGGGAAAAAAGGAAGGGGGAATTCCGAGAATTGAACACGGGACCTCTCGCACCCTAAGCGAGAATCATACCACTAGACCAAATGCCCTCCTGTGCCTCCTTTTTCAATAGTCAAATTATTAATCAAATTTCCTATGTGTTACTCTTTGCATGATTCACCTAATCTCTTTAATGAGCAGTTAGAAAACATGTTAACAATAACAACTATTGGTTTAACATCTTTTTCGTCAGTTGCACCAAATTCTCCACAATCTGAAATAATGGAGATGTTGGGTCATCTCATAATGCAAGCCCATCTTTCATTTGGTCATCTCATAACCCATTTTCATCTCATTGCCCTTTCGAATTTATTTTTAATTGTCAGAATTTTTCGTTTGGAATTTAATTGTAGTGCGGGGCTTGAGGGTGAGGAAGATCCCAAATGTCCCCCAATCTATTTTTCGGCAGCGGAGGAAAGGATGTTCAACCGGGAATGGCGATTGGCACTGGTGGTGAAGGCGTTGGGACGATCAGTTTCCTATATGCTAATGGCCAAACGGTTGACGAGTATTTTGGAAAAAGTGAGTACGATTCAAGTAACCTCGGCCAAAAATGAGTATTTTTGGTCCGTTTTACTAGTGGCAAGGACTACGAAAGAGCAATTACAGGTGGGCCATGAATGGTGGGTGATAACTACTTAACAGTTCATCCATGGACTAAGGACTTTAACATATACGAGCATGAGATATCGTGCACGATGGTATGGGCGCGGTTGCTTGAGATTCCGATTCAGTATTTTCACCCAGTAACAGTGATGAAAATTGGACAACGTATTGCGAAGCCATTGAGAGTTGATCATGCAACAAGCACGGGTGCTCGAAGTGATTATGCTAGGGTGTGTGTCCAGGTTGATCTGACCAAACCGCTACTCTCTATGTTCAGGCTACATGGGAAAAAGTATTTTATCCAATATGAGGGTCTATAGAAGATTTGTTTGCAGTGCGGCACGTACAGGGAAAGGGGGCACTATTCGTGCATGCATGTCCCAGCGGAAATGGAAACCGAGACCGTTGTGCTGAATAATGACCTAGAAACAAAAGAGCACAAGGAAACCTATGGTGATTGGATGATAGCAAAGAAGAGAACTCGAAGGAAGGACCAACCTAATCGAGCTAATGTTCCGAGTACGCACAAAGGAAGTAATGCTAATGAGACACGGAGAGATGGATACAGGTAATGAATCTAGACTGAGAGATGATTCCCAGATTACTCGCAAGAGGAATGAAGAGAGCAGTCAAACCGCGAAACAGAATGGGAAAGAGGTCAGCGAGGGGAGCGGAAAAAGGTGAAAAACCGACGTGGTCATCGAACCATCCGCCGGCGAGAACCTTTACGATGGCCCCTCTAGTCGATATTCCACCGACGAAATCACAAGGTAAATCCACCATTCAGTCAAGTAACAACACAGCCTCAACGGAGGTGCCACCGCGCAACAGATACAATTAGAAACACGAGCCGCTTACCAGTGTATGGCTATACCTCTAATGTGAGTAACCAGACCCGTCCCCCAGACCAGCTGCCTCTAAACAAGGGGAGCCCAGAGGAAGCAACAACAGCGATGGACCATGAGATAACGAAGGGATGCCTCAGCAATGAGGCCCCCTCGAATTAAACCTGTGTGTGTCTTGATAAACCTACTTTCCATATGGTTTTAATGCTTAATTTTTTTACGTGGAATTGTAGGGGTGCAGGGAGCAAACGCTTCCTAAGGGTGTTTAAGGAGTATCGACGGAAATATTGTCATGGTATTGTGGTGATTGTAGAGCCGAGACAACCGCAAAAGCGATAGTTCCAGCGAATTGCGCTCTTTAGTTTTCCAATAAGTTATTGATGGATGTTTATACCTTTTATTGAAGGGCTAGTGAATTAAAGAATACCTTCATCCATTAGATCCAAGAGAGAATCCATGGTTTGATGCAACAATGGCTAAAGATCCCAGTGTTTTATAGTGACATTTACCTGCCCTCGCAGAATTATAAACACAAGTTATTTTTTGTTACTTCAAGCCCACAAGTGCTATAATCTGTGTATTTTAGTATGAAAATTTTCAAGGAGAAAACAAGATGACCTAGAGAGAAAACAAGAAAGAAGATGTTAACCTAGTTAGAGATGTTTGTTTCTCTCTTCTGAAAGGACAACCACACTTTCTCTCTTGATCGTGCTAATCACAGGTGGTTTGTGGTTCTCTAAAGAGTCAACTTCCTCTAATGATTTCAATGTAACAAATTGCTTCTCGTGGTATTCCTTTCATCTTGTGGCAAGTCGGTTACCTTGTTGCTGGTTCCGACCATAAGTATCTGCTTACAAATTGGTCCGTTCGGAGCTGTCATCCTTGTCGCCGTTTAAACTAGCTTGACATTATACTAGATAATGCATGTTGGTTAATTTCTCATCAATAGTCATTGATTGAACCATGAAACAATTCAAATTAAGAGGAAAAAGAATGGAACTTAGACTAGAGGAGACAAAACATGAATGATCCATGTTCACTTTCCCTAACATGATTATAGACCCGTTCTTTAAGAAATTTATGCGAACTAGTGCAAAGTTAATCCCATACCTTCTTCTCAATGGGGAAAAAAAAAACAAAGTCAGGAAATTTTCTCCGGTCACACAAATCAAACACAGATAGGGTTGTCGGTATGGTTCGGGTAATCGAATTGAAACCTGTTATCCTTTGAAAATCAAACCCGAAACTAATAAGAGTGTTTTTGGGTTTCGCCACCAAAACACCTTATGGGATATGAAGAGTTTATATTTTTATCTAAACCAGAAACCAAAACAGAATAATAAAACTCAAAAACCGAAAACCCGAAGCCAAAATCAAAACAAACCAAAACCGAAAAATCTGATAATACATCTTATCAGTTCGGGTACCCAAACTTGACACCCCTAAATTTACACAGATGTACACATATGCATACACATCTTCTTCTTTTTTTTCATCACACCCCATACCTTAAATTCCTTCACACAAACCAACCCAAATCATCAATCAATCAAATCAGTAGATCACATACACAGCAAACTCGAGCAGAGTCTCGATCCCATCCGTCTGATGATTATTCCCTGCACCACCAACCGGAACAACCGTCTTCACCACCGCGTGCCCTTTCGCATTCACATACTTCCCCGTCCCGCCCATCACAGCGAGCTGCGACTCCGAAACCCCAGCCCTATGAACACCAAAGAAATTGAGACTGTCCTCGTAATGTCCATCCTGAAACATAGCAGTGAACGCCATAGCCTGGCTCGTCCCGTCGATCGAGCTCGCCACGTAGTAGCCCTGCGCTTTCCCCAGCAGCTGCGACCCCAATTCGTGGCCTTCGGTCAACTCATCGTCGATCACGTTGATGGTCCCGAACATCAGCTGCGCCAGGGCCGAGCCCGTGGGCAGCTGGCCGCCGTTGCCAACAGGGAAGTTGAAATTGTTGCCGTTGTTGTTGTTGTTCTGCATCAGGGTTGCTGACGTGGTGCCAGCTAGGCCGGTGAGGAAGGGGAGATTGTTGTTGTTGTTGTTGTTGTTCTGTGGGAGACCGTTGTTGACTGGGAGGACGGCGCCGTTTGGCTTGGCGAAAGGGACCTGGCCGTTGATTGCGGGGTTGTTGACCACTCCTGTCACAGCTCTGGTGGTTGGGTTTGACCCGCCTAGGATGTCGTGCATGAAGAAGGTCAACGTGTGGTCGGGGTCAACGGTGGTGGAGGTTGCTGCAGTGGCTGTAGCAGGGGAAGCAGAGGTGGCTGGTGAGGATGTCGCTGGCAATGGAGATGATGAGGATTCGTCGTCGTCGACGAGGATTCGGGATGCTGAGGTGGTGGTGAGAGCTACTGTGAGCATGATGAACAGAAGATAGGGTGTGGCTTGAGTTGGAATCGAAAGGGTTCTGAGATTCTCCATGATGTAAAGAGAAGAGGTTTTGGTAAACTAGATGGTGAGATAGTAGAGGAACTCTGTTTTTTGAAGTTCTTGTTAAGATGATTGAATGAAGGGTGGGTAGTTGATGAGTTTATATATAGCTAATGGATTGCATTTTGGGTTGAGGAGTTAGTGAGATGGAGTGGTTTAAATGATTCTGAGTGTTTTTGGTTGGCATGAAAGGAAAAGGAATGAGAGGAATGGTTGGGATTTTGCTTATTTGATCTTGGATGTTAGAGGTTTAGGTAGGCTGAAAGCTGCTTGGATTCAAGGGTCATTTTAGCAGATCCTCGGCTTCAGGAAACAAGTAGTTTCAGTTGCTGCATCGCCATTCGCCAGTAGTTACCACTGTGCCATTGTTTCTGACTTTCACATTCACAATACAGAACATGTTATTAAGAGCATTTTCTGGACTCAATTTGAGGTCGTACAAGCAAAAATGGTCACCTTTGCTTGTGACCATCTCCTTGTACTTGAGATCAGTGAACTGCAGATTCAAGAAACCAACCAAACGATAACAATTCAGGAAACTGCGAATCTTTGCAAGCTCACACCAAAAAATGGTTGTGCATTCAACTTTGTCTCAAGCAATAGGAAAAATGCAGCAGTTTTTACATAGCTTGCCCAGAAAATGACCATATTTTACATGAGAACTCACTGATTTACTCAAAAAGAATACATCTTCAATATTTTCAAAACCTACAACAAACACTGTATATATCTAGCTATCTCTCATCTTCCTTGTGGTCTATTGGAGAGAAAAAAATTTGCACAAGTGGACTTGGCAGGGAGCAAGCAACAATCAAACTACTCAGTACTCACTCAATACTCCTTGATTCAAAAACCATATACTACTTATACCACATATCCTGTATATATACTACGTATGTGGAAATTTCTGCAAATTTTTCCAAAAATATCACCCCATGTTGCTAACAGCATCCTCCACCAACTCATCAAACAAAGAATTTGCTATGTCTCTACTGATCTCCTGAACATGATCACCCAGATCAAACCACTTATCATCCTGCCCCGTCACCTTCTCAGAATTCTTTCCCGTTCCATTTTCCTGGCTGGCGAGTAACAACCATACCTCCTCCTCAATATCCTCCTGGCCACCATAGTTGAGCATGAATCTTCTTGCTACAGGTTCCGACCACGAGACTGACTGCTGGCTCAAAGATGACTGCAGAATCTCCACCAGCCCCAAGTTTATACGATCAAATAGTAATCTTCTATCGGCCCTCTTCCAAGATACCTGTTCTCCGTACTTTTTATCTAGTGTTTCAAAGACCGAAGGACTAACGATTAAGCATTCATCAGAGTTCCATGAGTGGTTAGGACTGATCAAGTATGGGCTTCTGTTGATCAGCCCTGCCTCGGTTAACACATCGACCAAGTATGAGAAATCCCTGCTCTCTTCAGCTTTAAAAAGTCTCATTGCAACTTCATTTGCTTCAAAATCGCTTACTGACTCTTCTTCCTGGGTATCTCCCTCGCTAGAGACCATTGTGTCAAAGTCTTCTGAGTTTCCATCCAATAACTCTGACTTCAGGATTTCGAGTCGATTATGCAAGCCTAGTTTCAAAGGAAAACAAAATAGAAAATTCTAATCAAATGACTAGGCCAGGAAACATTAAAACAGAGAAGGTGAATGAAGAAGGCGAGCAGTTGCTAACCTTGCAAAGAAGCACCAGCACCGTCCCAACAATCGAAGCAAGAAGATACCTCTTTCCTGTATGAAGTCTCCAATACGGAATTTGGACTGGATTGATAGTAGGAATCTTCTGAGCTCACTAGTGATTCTGGGTCCGTACACGAGCAATAAGAAGAAATGTATTCTTTCCCGTACGTTACAGCTGATATATCCTGCCGAATCAGTATGGGATCATTAGTGAGCAACTGATAACAGAGAATTGAAAACTAAAGTTGTATGATACAGAGGCAAGCAGTGGAAAAGCCCAGTTAATGAAACCAATTATGATTATGTATAGAGATGCATCAAACCTTTAGAATTGAAGCAGCCATTGTATAACGAGAATAGTCTTGGTCTTTCATAGAAAGATCCCCATCTTCTATCTCCAACAACTGCTGCTTGTCAAGTGCTAGGGAGGCTTCATTTACAAACGTGGTTTCTCCATTAACAACCATCTCAAGTGAACTCTGGCAATGTGCATCCTTTTCAAACTTCTTTTCAGCCACATTTGGAGGGATATAACTAGGTTCTGGATTCTTGTTTGCTACTTCCGAAACCTCAACAGGCGGAGGCATCTCCTCGTAGCTCTTTGCTGAGATTATACTTTCTGAAGCATGTCTGCGGTCAAACAATAACTCTCTCTCCTTTCGCTGAACAGAATTTATAAACTCAAGCTTACTCGCTCGGCTACTACTTTTAACAACAGAGTCATGGCTAGCACTTGGTGCATGATTGTGAATATCACTAAGACTCCAGTGAAGAGGTGTAGGTTTCTGTAAGCATCCAATGCTCCTGACCTTCCAGCCATACTGACTGTTTTTGCTTGAGCGAAGAGCAGCTGGATTGAAACATAACTTCGTTGGTTTAGAGTCATGATCGGGAAAGGTAATCTCTTTTTCATCCATTCTACTTATATCCAATTCAACTGGCTGGGTGGGAGACAAGGGTACTGACTCAGACTTCTTAAGCAAGGTGCCACCATTCAGATATCTAGAACCTAATTCATCTCTACCAAGAATATTGCTTTTGGAAAACCCAATTCCTGTGGTTGCATGCTTTGAAGAAGTAGACTTTGTTTTAGTATTCTCCACCTTATCTGTGTGTTGCTTAAGTACACCAATTCTTTCAAAATCCCTGCATGAGCTGAAACTAGTGTACCTTTGGTCACAAGCATTCTGACCTTTCCTGCAGACATCAAGGTTTTCATGGCTAGAAGGCTTTAATGACACCATTGAACTTAAATGAGCTTTCCTCTTCCCAGCTAAGCTCCCATTTTGTCTGTCTGTTCCCAAACTGTTGGTATCTCTTGACTCTTCTGAATCCAAACCAAATAAACGAAGCTTTTGATGTTTCTCTCGGCTACCTATAGCACTCACTCTCTGCATATACTTCTCAGAAAGCACTCTTGCTTTCTTTTGAACTGGTTGTCGAGGTTGAAATTCATCCAAACCCATCAATCTTGCAATAACACTGGGAACAGGTTGCCTGGGTTCCATTCTGGTTGACAAACTCTTGAATGAATTACCCGCTGCTTAGGAATATATGGACCTGGTCTAACCCAAGAGAATTTCCAGATAAGAAGAGGGAATCAATTTTTCAGTTCTGCAGACAAATCAATTTTTCAGTTCTGCAGACAAATGCATTATACAATGAATGCAAAACAATAGATTAACAGAAGGAAACATCAAGAGAAACTTTAGGTAAACCAGAAAGCAAAATGAAACAAATGCCTTTCTGCACTACAACATGTATTTCATTGTGTTCAAAAAGGCTCTAAGCTGTCTGAAAAACAGAAATGGAAACCAAGCCAACTCGAAATATCAAACAAGAGGATCGAAAGCCCCCAAGCCAAGGAAGGCAACTCCAAGTTAGAAGATCAAGAAAAGGATCCATTTCTATGAAGCCAAAAAAGGGCTTCGACTTTTTAGAAACCAAATAAAAACAAAAACTCCATCAAACAGATACCAAATAAAGCAGAGCATCAGTGAGTGACAAAAAGCTTGCAGACAATCAATTGGCATGCAGAAACAGAATCATGATAGCTGGGGCATCTTTCAGTAAGCAATTCTCAGAACCACACTAAGAATTACAAAAAGAAAAGTAATCATCTAAAGCAAACATATCCCCACCTATATAATTGTCACTTATCAGCAACCCTAATCATTAGAAACTAAGAATAATTCATGGTACCCACTATGCCACAATTTCCCCCTATACAATCACACGCCAAAATCTTTGCCAATGAAGAAACCAACTTCAATCAATTGAAAAACAAAAACCCATAAAACCAGAACAATGGGGAACCCAGAAATTTGCTTTAGCAAATAAAAAGTCGGAATTGCAGAACAGAGAGGGGGAAAGAACTGACCTTTTTACTCAAAACAAGGAGATCAATCCAAAAACAGACGGAATTCTCGAATACCCAGAACAAAAATTCCTCAGTAGCAACGAACAGACAGGAAACTATGTTTGTGGCGGAAGGTTGAAGAAGGTCAACTGCCAAATTACCATTAACAAACACTTGGAGAGGTCAAAACGTGGAAGAAACAGAAGAAAATAAAAACCCTCCCCCTGACGACACCAGAAAAGGGCGGCTACATAATTAGCATATTCGTTGAGGAGAATAGTACCTTCTTTGGTTTCATCTGGATCGGAGAAGTTCAAAACGATGATCGCCGGAGGGAAAATTGGGGCCCGAGAATGGAGCAGCGGCTATTATTGAAAGGGGAAAAAGATGAAATGTAATGCGATAATAGAGAGATGGATGATCGATCCGAAGTGGGGAGAGAGAGAGAGGAAAACGAGGTATAATAAGAAAATACGCGAGAAGATATGTTAATCAATGTGAAACAATAATCAGTGCAGAGACGACTGAAGAGTGAAGAGAGATGTAATTTCGAATTTGGATTTAATTAATTAAAGTTAGTTAAAGGGAAATGACGTGTGGGTTCGACGCTGTTAATGTCGTTTTACGGGAATACGCGCCGTCCCAAGAGGTCGTGTTCGCGGGTTTGGCGCCAGATTTTCCCTCCATCACCTTGCTGACGGTTATACCTTTTGAACAGGGACCCGTCCGGCTAATTGCCATTTTCACACTCTATTTTTGTGTCCTTACAGTTTTTACCCTTCTTTCTTTTTTATTTTCAGGACATCAGTAATCCAAATTTGGAGGCCGGTAGTAAGATCCTTTAAATGGCAAGCTCGTGAATGTCAATATATGCTTGGCAACCGGCAAACTCATTTGGATTTCGGATTTTCAGTCGGATATGTGGCTTCGATCTTACATGGGTCTACTTCCTGGGCTAACATTCATCCAAACAAATCGCTTATGTATGACTCGTTGTTCGATTCGATAAAAATTTATTCGATTAAGAAAAAAACTCGATTCGTTTATTAACGAGCTGAGGTTGGGCTTAGCCTTGTTCAGCTCGTGAGCCAGCTCGACTATGTGGATTTGTTGAGCTCAACTCGTGAATTCCCTTGTTTTGAGCTGGTAAGATGTCTCAACATTGTGATTAGTGAGCAAACTCAGACTACCGGCTTATGAAAAAATCGATCTATATTATATCATATGAGTTGACTTGTTGATAATTCATAGGTTTATCAAACGGGTAAATTGCGAGTTCCGTCACTGGGATTACTAAAAAAGTTCATGTTTGGTCTCTGCAAATATTTAATTTCATTCGTGGTCACCGGATTTAGTAAAATAGTTTCAAGTTTTGTCACTCTCCGTTAGTTTTTGTCCGTCTCCGTTAACACAATCAGTTATTCGCTAACGTGGGCAAATATGTCTCATATGACATGAGATCAGTTAATCACATGTATCATATATGAGTCAAGTAGGTTTCAATAAATGAGTCAGCTCGAGCTCAACTCGACTCAGCTCGTTTTGTAAATGAGTCAAACTTGAGCTCGACTCGTTTATCAACAAGTTCAACCTAAACAAGGCAAAACTTAACTCGATTTGGCTCATTAACATCCTCAATTAGTACTTGTTGGTCATTAACCCAACTCAAACCAATTGTGTCGCGAGAAATTCGACAAATTCAATTTTATAAGTTGATTCAATAGCATAGTGAGATGATAGGATGGATATTTCAAGCATTCGCTCCTCAACAATCCAGTAGGGGTGGGCGTTCGGTCGGTTCAAACCAAACCGAACTAGTATATGCCGATTTTCCGAAATTCTTAATACTCCAACCGAATTCGAACCGAGCTATATTTCGGTTCGGATAAAACGAACCGAAATATAACTCGGTTTGGATTTTCCGTCAAAACCGAAATTATGGAAGACTTCCCCTTTATCTCCCTCTCTCTCCCCACAGATTTATCCTTCCCATCTCTCTCTCGTCTCTCCATCTCCTCACTAACAATCTGTTCCCCAGATTTTCCCTCAATCAATCTCTCTCTCTCTCTCTCATCTCTCCTCTATCTCCCCAAAATCTACTCCCCTGATTTTCTCTCGATTAATCTCTCTCATCTATCTCCCACTAAGAATATGCTCCCCAGATTAGGGGTGGGCATCGGTTCGGATTGGAGGGATGGCTGTTGTCGGCGTCAGAGTTCATTGTCCATATGGGAGTAGAGCAGAGCAAGGCGACGGATTGGAGGGATGGCGGCATTTGGTTTGGTTAGAAGGAGGGAGGTTAGATTCAGATCCGAGCATGCATGACATTTTTGGTTTGTTTTTCTCCTTCAAGTTTTCAGTTGCATCGTCTAAACTTTTGATTAAGGAGGATAATAAACCAGTTGCGGCGACGGACGGAGAATAGGGGCGAGGAAGAGACAGCGGCAGTGGCGAGGCAGATTTCAAAGATGTTGCGGCGGCGGCGACAGGAGGGGCTGGTGGGTTTCTAGATCTTGTGACTTGTGGGAGAGGATTGATAAAAGTCGCCGCCGCTGAATAACAAGGAGGAGGGTGTTGAAATTTGATCTAGGTTTAGCAATTAGTATGAGAGAAGTTTGGGTTTTGCCATGAGTGGGAGAAGTTTGGGCTTTGTGACTTGTGAGTGTGAGTTTGTTAGTGATTTGGGTAGTTGGGCTATGGGAGTGAGAGAGTGGGCTTGAAGAATGGATAGTAATATGTGGGCTTAGGCAGTATTTTGGTTTTTCGGTTCGGCATTCGGAATCTCGGTTCGGTCAAAAGAACCATGATTTCCGAATTATACAGATTTCCTTTCCGAATTCCGAACCGAATAACAATAGTTCGGTTTCGGTTCGGTTTAAACTCGGTTCGGGTTTACCGAACCGAGTGCCCACCCCTACAATCCAGGCAGGCTCGGGCCATACTCATTCAAGCCCTAGGTTAGGAGACACGATTAGTACTACTCTGAAGTCCAACCATACTGCTCTTCCATAGGCAGAGCAAAATCAAGGCAGTTTCAGAGATGAAGGATGGACATTGGACACACTATCAAAAAAGGTAAGGTTGTCAAACTGGTTTAAGTCAGGGGGAGGGGCGGTGGGATGACCAAAAGCTTAGTTTGTAGTTTGATCCTCCCTCCTGTAGGGCCATTAAAGCGATTCCTCTTCCTCGTCAATCTGTGGAGGATAAGTTAATTTGGCAAGTGCCTGTGCTCCCTATATGTCCGGTTTGCTGGGATAGTATGGAAACGATGGAGCATTTGTTTCTTGATTACCCAGTGGCGCGAGCTTTGTGGGGTTACTCAGGACTGGAGTATGTAGGGGAGGGGCTGGCTCGGCACACTTTCCCATTGTTTCTTAAAAAGTTGATGACCTTGATTCACCAACCCCAGTTGTTCATGGCTGTGGTTGCTATCCTGTGGCGGATTAGGCGCTCCTGTCGTGGATGTTATATGCCAGGGGGAGGGGCGGTGGGATGACCAAAAGCTTAGTCTGTGGTTTGATCCTCCCTCCTGTAGGGCCATTAAAGCGATTCCTCTTCCTCGTCAATCTGTGGAGGATAAGTTAATTTGGCATGACCCGGTGGATGGGGTGTTCTCAGTCAAGTTTGCTTACCATTTAGCTGTTGCTTTGGACAAGCGGAGAGATGGCTGGAAGGCCACGGTTAGTTGGATGGACAAAGCAAGTTGGATCCGCTTGTGGAATGCGAATATTCCCCCAAAGCTAAAGGTCTTTGTCTGGCAGCTTCTTAATCGAATATTACCAACTACCGAGGCCCTTATTAGCAAGCGAGTGCCTGTGCTCCCTAGATGTCCGGTTTGCTGGGATAGTATGGAAACGATGGAGCATTTGTTTCTTGATTGCCCAGTGGCGCGGGCTTTGTGGGGTTATTCGGGACTGGAGTATGTAGGGGAGGGGCTGGCTCGGCACACTTTCCCATTTCTTAAAAAGTTGATGGCCTTGATTCACCAACCCCAGCTGTTCATGGCTGTGGTTGCTATCCTGTGGCGGATTTGGCGCTCCCGTAACTGGGTGGTCTTTGAAGGCAAACAGTTTGGGTTCCCCGCCTTAATGCGTCAATTTCATCAGCAATATGAGGAATGGGTACGGTTGCCAGTGGACAAGGTTCTTCATCCTTCGGTCCCGGCGGGGGAAGGTATAGGGATAGGCGAGACTGGGGGGGTCGTTTGTATGTGGGATGGGGCGGTTCGGCCAGGGTCGCATTCTGCTGGTGGAATTGTCCTGTTATCCTCGGATAGAGAAGTCCTTCTGGTTAAGGGCGTCCAGTTCCCGCTCTTGGGAGATCCGATGACGGTGGAGCTACTGGTCCTTAGGGAGGCGATTTTATGGTGTCTGGCGAATAGCTTCACTAATGTGTTATTCGAAGGGGATGCGAAGGTGATCATTGACAAACTCAATCAAGGGGATGCCAGAGACAATCGAGTGGGTGCTGTTTTGGAAGAGGTCTTGCACTATTTTCGCACCCACCCGGGTTTGAGGGTTCGATTTGTAGGTCGGAGTAGTAATAGGGTAGCCCATCTGGTGGCTAGGAAAACCCTCTTTTTGTACCCGATCATGAATCATGGCTTTAATTATCAGGCCTGGCTGCGTTCCAGGATGTAACTATCTTTTTTTATATCAATACAAGATTATCTTTTGTAAAAAAAAATCACAATTATCTTTTTTTTATATCAATACAGGATGAACAACTTCCCTCGAATCCATCACCAGTAGGTGTATTAACCTTAATTACGAGCAACTTACTTTAAACCAAAAAGCCACAATTTTTGTTAAGAGAAACCCCCGAAGCATACATAGTGGAGTGTAGAACACAAGGAATATAACCCATACAACTTATCATAACACAATCTGAATCTTGATTATTGGTATAGAAAATCAGGAATTTGCTAAAACAATATATGAAAAATTGCAGAACTGTTGAACTAAGAATTGTTTTGTTGGGGAGCTCCACCAAATACACTGGCACTGCTATCCTGTATTAATTTGCAGTGGTATATACTACTTCAAACAAGTCGGTGGAAATTCGAAGGCCCAATAACAAGAATTAAGCCCATCGATAAAAATCGAGCCCAGATATGAGGGTTTCGAGAAGCCCATAAGGAAGGAAAAAAGGATTGTACTTTGGAAATTGTAGGGCTTTACCCCTGAGGGAGCCCTTCCAGAAATTCTCGAGGGCCGTGGACAAGCCGCGGCCCAAGAGGGGGTTTGGAAATAGTTTTCAACCAGCAATTGACGCGCCTCGGTTATTACCTCACTAGCTGCGTCATTGCCCCAAGCGCAAAGATGAGTTTTTTAACTTAGGCCAGCAGGTGATTATATACTCCACTTTCCCTGCTCCTGCTGTTCCAGTGGGCGATGTGGTATGTATTTTCAGCTACTTTTGGGCTCCTTCAGTTCTTCGTTTGGCCCATGAATCATTATCGTTTGCCCGATCCACATTGGACATGGGCATTAGGAAGGAAGAACTCAGATTAGAAAAGTTGATGAATTTCTTTGTCAAGAACCAGTTGCTCCCAATAACTCTAGATGTTGTGAGAAGGTTCTGCTGGATCTTATACCACACTCTAACACGCCCCCTCAAACGAAAGCCTACCCATGGGCTTGAAGTTTGCACAGGCCCACCATACCATGTGCTTGAAAGACAACGGTTAATATTGGGGGTCATGGAGATTCGAACACATGACCTTTTGGTTCCAGGCTCTGATACCATGTCAAGAACCAGTTGCTCCCAATAACTCGAGTTGTTGGGAGAAGGTTCTGCTGGATCTTATACCACACTCTAACAAACCCAACAAGTAGTTTTGATATTCATGTGATTGTGTTGTTTAAATTCTTTTGCTCATTGTTATATCATCTCCTAGTGTTCTCGACCGTTAACATCGAGAATTTATTATTAATGTGGTATAAGATTTATTATTGAACATCTTACAACACAAAAAGCCAAACACAACACTATCATAAAATCATAACTTGCTACTAATTAACTTAGGGTTAATACTTTGTTTGGAATTACCGAAAAGAAATAAAATAATACTTTGTTTGGTCTATGAAGATCACTGGAAAAAAAAAGCATTATTTGGTCATTTCTGGTGTAAAATTTGAAGTACTCTGATTGATACAGTAAAATATAACTGGGGAAAAGGTCGCAGAACCGTCCCGATTCAACCACCTTGCCCGTACACTACATTCCAACCACGCGAACACCATAAAAACGTGACATAGCTTAACAAAGTCGTTCCCTTTATTCGCCTAGAAAGATCACTGCTCTCCCTGCTCTCACTAACCTCCCACCCGCGATAGAGAAAAACACCAGAAGAATAAAAAATGACCCTGGAGATCGCTGTGAAGGCTGCCGCTGGTGCTCCAGAGCTTCTGGGAGACTGTAAAGCTTTCTCCTTTCCTCCACCCTTATTTACATTTCATGATACAATCTCATGTGGCGACTCGATGTTCGACAAATCATGGTTCTGCAATCTGGGTTTTTTATAGGATCTGTGGGGTTTTGGTTTTGGGTGTTCAGGTCCATTTTGCCAGAGAGTTCTGTTGACATTGGAAGAGAAGAAGGTTCCTTACAAGTCGCTTCTTGTCAATCTCAGCGATAAACCTAAGTGGTATGGTTTTCTTTTTAGCTCTTTCCTTTTCATCGCTCTCGCTGATTGATCTGTAAGCTTCATGTTAAAGTTTTTGCCTTCTCTGTTTACTTTCAGTTCCTTAGCTAATCTGATGGGTTGAGCTTATAGTTCTGTAGCTGAGGTTGTAATCAGATAGTAGGGGCTTCAAAAGCTCTAGTTCTGCTTATTGGGACTTACTTGTCTGTTTGGCTGATCTTGTAAGATAGACCACATTCTCTTCACTCTTGTATCTGTATACTAGATGATTTGTCTTTTGGTAGTGCTTTTCCTTGAAAGACTGATCTTCACTGCAATGGGTTAATGAAATTTTCCTTTTTGGTTCTGGTACTAGAACAACTACAAGTACTTTATTAATGGGGTCATACTACTTACTGAGAGTCTTAGTCCCAAGTGAATCTTGTCTTCTAGATTAACTTTGGGACTGTATGGAAACTGTGTGGCTTCTTGTGGTGCGTACTGATGGAAGAAAATGTGTTTCTTGTTGGTTTGATTAGGTTTTTGGACATCAGCCCCGAAGGGAAGGTTCCAGTGGTGAAATTTGATGGCAAATGGGTGGCTGATTCTGATGTCATTGTTGGGATCCTAGAGGAGAAATATCCTGAACCATCTCTTATCACTCCTCCTGAATTTGCCTCTGTGTAAACTCTCTCTTCCATTGGCTAGGCTCCCAGTGTTTACATATGTTGCAGCTAAAAAATATTTAAGATCTCGATGAGGTTTAATATGTATATAGTGAGTTGGTTAGCTTCTCGACCCAGATATGAATCCTGATTGATTATTCTGAACTGTTGGATCTTTTTCTTTGCAGAGGCTCAAAGATATTCATATCTTTCATCAACTTCCTGAAGAGCAAGGACCCAAGTGATGGAACTGAGAAGGCGTTGGTCGATGAGCTGAAGGCACTTGATGAGCATCTCAAGGCAAAAGTATGTAAAAACTCGAATTGCATATGCATGTAATAAGAATGGATGGTTGCCTTGTTTATTATTTCTTACTGAAACACAAAACTAAATGACTGGCTATGAATCAGGGGCCTTTTATTGCTGGGGAGAAGATCACTGGTGCAGATTTGAGCTTGGCCCCGAAACTGTATCATTTGGAGACTGCTCTTGGCCATTTCAAGAAGTGGAGTGTTCCTGAAGACCTGACTCATGTCAACAACTACATGAAGGTAAGTTTACTCTGATTTGTATGTAAATGTCCAAATTTGGAACTTGCCCTAGTCTCATTGGAAGAAGGATGAGTTGGAACTTGATCTGGATGGGGTAGATGTAAAAAAAACTAACCCTTGCTGTGTTTTGTTTCTGTAATTGCAGACATTGTTCTCCCGTGAGTCATTTGAGAACACCAAGCCTGCTGCCAAAGAATATGTCATTGCTGGTTGGGCACCCAAGGTCAATGCATGAATCAGTTCTCTAATATGAGTAGTCGTTGGGAACTTCTGTTTGCAATGTTGCTGAGGATGTTGTACTAGTAAACTCAGCTACACACAAAAAATCTATTTGACGGAGAAGAATAACGGTTATGTACTCGATCGTGAACGGTGATGAGATCACTTCGTCTTATGTACTTGAGAAGAATCGAGACTCTTGCCACGTTGTTGTTGTCTCGATACGTTGGTGTATGTCTACCTTACTAAATGTCATCTCAATCTAAGGAGTTAGCTGATTGATAATGTGCGAGGATAAAATTCACCACATCCTGTTTTTGAATTTGGGGTCGTCATTGCATTGGCTGATGGAGGAACATGAATATCATATATTTGGTAGAGCAAAGAAAATGAGAGTGTTGAACTTGCATCGTTTCGAGCGAATATTCGACAAGGTTTCTCGTTCGAAGGACACAACACAAGTGTTCTCTAAAATTACTCATTTTATGTTCAAAGTCTTACAAAAGGCATATATACTAAAATGGGGTTGAGAGTTGAAATCATTCAAAATTAGGAGTTGAAATCTCAACTGTTAATTGAGTTTTGAAATAAATAATTGTGAATGACTTTTCTAATCTCTACTTCCAAACAACATATTTTTCAAATAAACTCATTTATACAAATTACTCGTTTCAAATAAACTCACTTTAGACTTCTTTCATCCCAAAGTGAGTTCAAAATTTTGAATACGATTTTAGATCATTTGACATTTAGGGGCCATTTCAATGATTGATTTAGAAAATAGGTAATTTGACCCAATTGCTTTAAAATTACCTCATTCCACAATTGATGGATCATTTCAATATACTTGCCCCCTCCTCCTATCAATTCAAATCAAACAAAAGTAATTTATATTGCATCGACCACCCAATTGATGCATCTCTATTCTGTGTCGCCAAACGATCTAACTCCATCATCCAAACGACCATTAAACGACCGCTTAAGAGGTATTTTTGCTGCTACCTCAAGTGCTCAATTATTGGATGAACGAACTTTCAGCTAGAAGTAAAATGAAACGTGGATATATAGTGCTTTTATTCACACAAGCAGTAGGTCCATGATCATGATAACGTCGATAGACAGCTCTGTTCCTGTACATGCAAGCGTCCAACGAAGCAGGGGTAGGGAAATAGTACAGCATACAGCCAAAGGACTTCAGTTTATGAAGATAATAGAATATCACCAATCTCATTTCTCCTCCTAGCTAGGCATCATATCTCCATTTTCACCCACACAAAAAGTAGTTGATCGTGACCAGCCAGCCAGCCATCCAAGCTTTTCATTTTGTTTTCGTCTTTGTGGGTTCTTCACCCTTTTTCTTCCTCGAGATTCTACTTGACTGTCCCCATGAAGCATGTTCTTTACTTCATTTTAATGAGAGAAATAGAGAGCTGATCAGCTTCACATAGTTGAGACAAACAAAGAAAACAACCACCCAATTTATCATCAGTGGAGAGCTGATCATCCCTCTTAAGTTGATTCTCTCTGCAGGTAAGCAAGAGGTTTGATAGTTTTTTGTGCTCAAGATTCACGTGATCGTACGATGATGGGATGAATACAGCAGGAAGACTGACATGAACATGCAGCAGATAAATAGACTTGTCCTCTTACGTATACTGCATAGCTACTTCCATACATGAGGACAGAAAAGGGCAATGGACCACTAGGAAGCCAAGGGACACATGTAGGAATAAGCAGAGTTTGAGATGTTCCTTTCTCCTCCTGTGAAAATAATCAAAATATTGCTGAAAAGGGAGAGAAATTGTAAACCTGCTAAGGCTTTCATGATCAGTCTTTGGAGTCTTCTTTGGAGGATTCAGTGATCATCTTCTTGATCATGGCGCTCGTTTCTTCCTCGGTCATCCTTTCGTCTTTGCTCTTGGATTCAGCATAGGCTTCGAAGAATCCTTTGTTCTCTTTCTCCAGTTCATTCCACACTGCCATCACACACAGATGAACACAGACAACGCGTTACCATCTTATTGATGAACTTGGGATCTCATCTTTGTGATCACAAAGAATTGGTCTTCTATCTCTAATGCATGGATCATAGAAATGATCTAGGAATGACATGTTGGACCTGAAAAGGCCATGAAACTAACTTCAGCCCACTCATGCCCTATGATAATCTTGGATCAACAATAAAGAGAAAGGCGCTAAAGGGTCAAGCATGTTTCAGAAATTGGACGCCATGATGATCCTGAAACTAAAAAAGCAAGCAACATTGGGTTTTCTCAAAGAGTACTGTTTGATCATAAATTAGTTCCAAGCAAAGCAGGTTTATGGATCATAAGAAAGCTTGAACTTTGATGGTTAAGACCCGGATCCGCTTTGCTGGTATGCAATATGGAGAAACTTGCTACGTGTTTTCTTCATCTTTACCAGGTTTATGAAATATCAAGCTATGTTTAAGCTAGTGAGGACTTGCACGAAACAGTATCAAAGTAAAAAAAGTGGAGAGGGAGGAGAGAAAAACCTGTGGAGGTGATGACTGGTTCGATGTTTGCATGCTTGGAGAGAGCTTCCATGCACTCTTCTTTACTCATATGGAAGATCAAGCATTTCTCTATTAGATGCTGCACCTGTAGATACGTTTGCCAAATGCCAAACCATCAGTGAATACCATCAGCACAAAGTGGGAAGGAAAACAAAAAACAAAAAACAGAAAACTTATCAGAAGAAAATGATTGGAGGACAGTTTCAGTAATATCTCTAAATAACCAACCATGTGTATGTATGAAGCAGAAGAGTCCCCCTCCATGAATGAACAAATGGTCTTCCCTTAAGAAGCAAGTCCCACTTCTTAACTAACTACTACTGGGATCTGAACCCACTAACACAAGGACTACAACAAGCCAGTGCAACATATATATACACAGCAACATGGTGCAGCAGTCCCCAAGAAGAAAAGAGAACTGCAGCACAAGATTCAAGTTGATATGGGGAAGATAGAAATACGACCCAAAGTAGCCAAAAGAGGTGGGGAAACAATGTATTAGTAGAGTCCCACGTGGGCTATGTGCAACAATTGGCTGAGAAAGGATTAGAGGAGATTCTGTAAATGACAGCAAGGAGCTTGCCACTTAGGCAAAACCTACCAGCACCCCCTCCACGTGATTGCTGGGACCTTCTCCAGGTCCCAGTCTAGAATTTGTGAGGAAAAAACAGACAAAAGCTCCCAACATATGATATGGAATCCTCCAATAGTGTTTTTTTGTTTGAAGTGATCTCTCATTTCATCTCTATTCTAGGCTACCAGCACACAACAGTGTGAAGCTAACTTGCCCTTCTCTTCTTTGCATATTTTCCACTGGTTTGTGTCTTGTGGGACATGCAGCCAAGACCATTGATGATAAAAAAAATTCCCAATGAAAGTTGTTGATTGCAACCAAACTTCTTTCTACAAATAGCCAGCTCTGTAGCACAGTTCCTCTACAGTTTTTCAAGTGAAGTGACTCCATCCAGTCATTAATCTGGCCACGGTACACAGATATTCCTTCCTCACAAATGTATATACATCATATAACCATCTCCATCTCGTTTACCTATCAATAGCTGAAGTGGAAAGCTTGCCAAGATATTCTCATTTTCTGTGCTTTCTACAGAAAACAGAAGGAAGAAACCTCCAATAAGCTATAATGCTATCAAGTGCTAGAAGATTTTTCACAACCTCGAAATCCAACAAAAACTGCCATGATGGCACTAAGTCCACGTGACGAACAGAGATTGGTTGCCAAAAGCCTAGCCGCCAAGATTGCAGTTTGAAGTTTGAACCGCTAACCTAGTGTCTCCTTTTCTTTACCCCCCTTGCATATCTTACAAATGAATGCAACTAGCACACTTCTCTTTCTTGACTAGGGACTTATGCCCCTTCAAAATGCTAATTTGACTTGTCAAAGTCCTTGCCCCAGATTTCTAGTTTGTCATAATGCCTTTGGAGTCGCTGGCCCTTTATCAGGTCACAGGCAAACTGAAGATGCATTCCACTTAAGATGTCTGCTGATATTTCTGCTTAATGGCATAGTGTAGAGTGTATAACCAGAAATTTAAATAGCAAAGAATATTTACTACGAGCAACATGAGAAGCTGTGTAAAATTTATGAAAACTGCCTGACTGACTGACTGGTTTATCTGTTTCAGGTTTAGCTCTTCGTGTCCACTCCAGTTGCATCAATATATTCCCGCCGGTAAGTGAGTTAAAATCATACATAGGCTTGTAACTTACAGGCCTTCAATGGAATAACACGAAACCAGACCAAGAAAGCATCACCGCCCAGATATCCAAACACCTCATTCAAATGAGCAACGAACCTCTTCGAACAAAATAGACAACTTCTGTCAACTTTTAACAAAAATTGCAGACTCCGGACATGGGTTATGCAACTTCTAACGAAAACCATCCATAAATCTACAGTCTTATATCCACTAATTTTTTATAATTCTAACTGTCAACTAAATATCAAACGCCAGAAATAATGAAATATCATCAAAAACACAAAAAGCTAGTGTCCAAAATGTTGGTGAAGCCAACAAAGGCTTATCATGATCCCACTTGAAAATATTGAATTTGTTAAGGACAACGAAAAGAAACTATTCTCTAGTAGGCAGCAAACAAAAATTGCAAGCTGATGGCAAGAGACAGCAGAAAGGCCAAAATTCATAGCAGAATTGCAGAAGCATCAAATAATGGAGTTTATCGGAGACTATGGTATATAGCGTGGTGGTCCAATAGGACAGCAGAGAGCATAATCATAACATCGTTCAGCTCTTTTTGGTTCTTCCCCTAGTGCCAATACTTACAAATTTCCTGATATCGACTGCTTCTGCAACCGCATATAATATAGACTACAGAGAGAGAGAGAGAGAGCGCGCTCTCACCTTTACCCATTGTGGAACTCGGTATTTTGATAAGATTGAGGATGATGATGTGTTGGAACCCCATTGGCTGCGGACTGCCATGTGCGCGCGCCCAGAATCAAAATGAAGACGGAGCAAAGACTCCACCTTGCCATTTTGGTTTTGGTGCTCGATCCGGGTCCTCTGTCTGCATTCACCATCGCGTGCGTACGCCAAAGCTTTTCCAGTGACCCACCACCAATCCACCATAATCCCCTTTTGTTTGCTGGTGACGTACCAAGAAACGATAAATCGAAGACCAGAGACGACCCGTTATAGATTATTGGCGACGACAAAACTTCCCCGAAAATGAGCACAATTTGAGCGAGCGAGCGAGCTGTGAAAGCTGAGAATCGGGGCGCCAATTTGACGGTCGCGACCTGTTCGATAAAATGCCACAATGAGAGGGAAGAAGTTTGGAACTAGGGAATTGGGGGGATGGGTTCCAAAAGGGAGGCCCGCGCGAGCGAGTTCTGCAAAGTAAGCAGCGTCAGCACTCGGCCAGCCTATAACCCCTCCAAAAATTACTTGCGCATTATACTATGTCAATTGCGCGGCGAGCGGCTCCCACCGCTCGCTTTGTTTTCCTTACTCATTAGTTTAAGGCGAGTTTGAATGTTGGGAGTCCAATGGTTAGTTGTACCTAGTTGCCTCATCCACGTTTTAGAAAACCGCCGATGTGGTAGAAAAGGGAAATTGAGACTTAGTGTTGTTCTTCTAGGAGGAGGGGTTGAAAGTTGAAACCTAAGCAGTACGACCAGCTGACCGAGTAACAGGCCAACTCTAGTATGACATCGTTTTGTTGTTACAAGAAATCGAGAAAATTCGCTACATCGGCTTCTTCTTACCCAATTCCCGTTTCGAAGAGGAAAAGGTATTTCTGCTTACCCTTCTCTTCTCCTTCCCCACACAGTGGCGGAGGGAGCCATTGAGGAGAGACCCCACTTAGCAAAAAGTTTGGTACTAAAACCCTTTGAATATATGCGTTTAAGTATGATTTTTTGGAGAAGGACCCATACTTTGGTCGATATTACCTCACTTAAGGACCCCATTCAACTCAAAATTTTAAGTACACCAGTCCATTCAAAGTATGGCTACGCCACTGTTCCCACATACCAAATTTGTTGGCGGATGGGAAAGAGAGAAAGAGCAGACAATGGAGAGGAAGACGACTGGGGGGGGGGGGGGGGGGGGGGGGGTTGAAAGATTTGTGGAGTAATGAAGTTCTTCTTCCTCAAAATTCACAGCATGGACTTCGTTATTTCTCCCGAGGGGAAAATAGACCGATGAAAGAAGGAGATTGGAGGAGGGTAGGAAGGAACAGAAACCAAATCATATGAGGAAAAGAGAGAAGGCCAGCGACGGATCCAGAACACAGAAGAGTACTATGCCGCATTTCATTATAAAATTAGAACCGTAAAAAAAATATAATGATTATCGTTTCTTGAATTATAAATTGTACACGACTGTATTTTAATTTAGGAAATGTTTCAATAATGGAGTCTACATCCATACCAATAGTATACACTATTTCAAATAAAATACTTTAGCAATCGGCGAGAAATTCATCGCTCATTTTGTTGAGCAAATCAGTTCTCACATGTTTCATTATTGAAAAGGTTCTCTTCGTAGTAGCTGTTGAAACGAGCAACATCAACACTAGATAAATCAATCGACTAATCAATTTGCATTGTGTGACTGTGTGTCCATCCATGCACACCAGCTGCTCTAGTAAATTTTTAAGGGAACAAACCTCATATTTCTTTTAGTATTTTACGTTTTAAGCTTTTTAGCATTTGAGGTTTCATTGTTTTTTTAGACCCATAATCTTTGGGGCTAAAATTTGTAGGCAAAATTTAGAGTAGTGATTTGAATATGTTCAACTTGATAATTTTTCTAGTTAAACTCAATCTAATCATAAAATAACACTGGGTCAAATGTCTAAAATCATAAATTTCATAAGGACAATACTAACTACGGATTCAAAGGAGGGCTGGGCTGGGACCCGGGGTGGCCACCCCTGAATCCAACAGTGGAGAAGGCGACCGACAAAAGAGATCAAAGAATGGGGGGAATAAAACATATCGTAGAGGTGAGAAGGAGGCACAATCAGAGGTGTAAGAGAGAAAGAGCATATCGGAGACTCGAAGGAGAAGGAAGGAAATTTTGAATTATGTATAGATTTTTAAAAGACAGAGAAGTATAGATTTTATTGTGCTTGTGTATAAAACGGGCCATCCAGAGTTGACATGCGATTCAACTCGCCCGAAAACCCAGTTCCTTGATCGGGTTGATAGGCGTTGTGCTAATAATCTTGATGTTGGGAGGAGTTACATGTTTAGGATGATATGATGATAGGGTTTATAATTGATTGATTCATTATACTAAGTGTGCATTGGGTTGCTTTATCATTGGTGTGGTTTTCTTCATATTAGATATTTCATATCCACGTGACTTATCATTTTTCATCTCGTGTTTCATCTTTTTAGTAATTATGCGAGGAGTATTTGCAAAACTTATTGTTTATTTGTAGTAGTTTTCACTCGTCAAAACTGGCAAGGTTTAGTACTTATTGGTGATTGAGTTGAATGTTCCTTCATACAGGTTGACAATCTCAAGGTGAATTGTGAGAAAGATTCTTCGATCTTGAAAAGTATATTATAAGACTATGGGTCGAGTATGGTGTTGGTACGTAATGTAACATTTAACGGGGATAAGGTTCATATTCCATTCGAAGTAGGGTATGTAACGTAACATTTCATCGTTAGGCTGCGTGTTCCTCATTTCCCCTTCGCCATTTTAAGTTAATTTGGTATTTTTGACATTCCATCTTATGAAAATTGCAGGCATTCAGAACCCAGCCCTGTTGTTGTTTCCAAAAAAAAATTTGGTTGCCAAATGTTCTATATACAATTCAACGCACCAATCTAGAAAATCACTGAACCATCTGTTATCTGTAACATGCAGGCGATTATATATAACATAAAAACAAGTGTAGAAAATTACTGCTTGATGCATTGGCTAATACGAGTTCAAAGCACGAATCTACCGCTACCCACCAAGTTGTAGTAGTGCTCATTGATCTCGTCTCTGCGAAACAATACAAGGAGAAAGCAAATAGCAAAACCCAAAATGTTTATGTTTGACTCATCGAATTTACACGGTAGCAAATATTGAACACCTGCTTTACAAAGAATACAATCCCTACACCTAATTGCCAAATGCCTTCGACAATGGCTCTTCTGCGAATTATATATAACCCTTTTCAAGGAGTGAACTTATGCGACAACAATGGCTCCTCCAAGTTAGGGTCGCCACCATTCCTCGAACCAGTTGGTTTTCTCTGCCCAGATTCTAACTCGGCCACCGACAAATCCTCCCCTCTCTGATTCAACAACCTCTCGAACAGACTGGGGTTCGTCGACTCGGCCGCTGCTGGCGACGAAGTTCGGTGCAGGCTCTGAACCTGCTGAAGGCAGACCTGAACCGCGTCATGCACTCGTACGAAGCACCATTCCTTGCCAATGAGCTCGACGACCCCAGCTTTTGAGAGCGTCAGCAGAACTTCTCGGTTCGGATTCGAAATAGCTATCTGCAGAAAATGAGAAATTGCAACAAGCCATTGTAAAGATGTGAAATTGGGCCCGACAAAGGGCCGCTACTGAAATTGAATTTTAATGGGCCGAAGGAAAAGTTAGACTAGGAATTGGGTAGGGGCCGCGCGAACGCAGGCCCCCGCTGCCACAAATTATGACGTAGGCTCTCCCACTATGGGGAGACCTTAGCCCAGCACCCCTCCAGAAGTGCAATGGAGGTCACTGGCCTAGACCACAGGCCTTATTGATCGCCCGTAGATCCCGTCCAGGTAAGTATGTTAAGAAGAAGCACCCTGCTCTTATTTTATACTCCTTTCCCCCCTTTCTAAACTTCTTATGTTAATCGATGTGGTATTCTTCTTATATCCTACTCCTTTCCCTAACTTAACTCCTGGCAGCCGGTCTTGTCATCTCACTGCAATTCATTGCATAGAAATGGAAGGGTGACAAACCTGGATATCTCGTGATTTGTACTCGTGGTGCAAGTCCTTCAGAGCTTGGACAGCACTCGAGTCGATGTGAGTAACAGCTGCAGAGTTTTGAGCATAAGATGTCAGACCACCCTCTGGGGGATGGTATGGTTTTGGTTGTGATGGTAGCTGATTCGGAACTTACGTGACATCTCTAGAATCACAAAGTAGATTCTTTCGACTTCTGGTCCACGTCGGAGCGACTTGTCGACGTTAACTTCATAGTCTCGCAGTCTGGAATGGCAGCAGAAAGGAAAATGGAATAAGGGATGCAAGTACAGACACATGATGGAATAAGGGAGTGGCAGAGTGTTTAGTTATTGCCAACCTGTCTTTTATGTAGCTTGTATTTGCAAAATATATTGGGGCATCAATGCGAACGACCACGATTCCATGGTATGTGTATGCCTCCGGGTATTGTTGAACGTTTCTATACACAGTGGTGCCAGGAAGCCGCCCCAGGACAGCTGCAGTGCAAACAAATGTTGAGTTTAATGTATGATTCGTTTGTGCTATGCTGTGTGATTGAATCAATTTTCCAATTAGTCGCTTACCGATATGTGGATTTGCAGACTCATGGATGACAAAAGCAAGTGAGACACCAACCTACAGTTTCAAAGTCGAGAAAAAGGTTAAATAGACAACTTCTTTCACCATTCAAGAACAGTCCATGCTCTCAGTTTGTAGTGTTGTCTTGCTAATTGTCAATAAAGCTTCTTACCCCAATGAGAACACCAATCTCGATACCCAGGAACAAAGTGGTGGTGCAAGTAATGATCCAAAGAAGAAAATCCTTCTTATCGATACGCCATAAGAAGATTGCTTCCTCATACTCAACCTGAAATTCCCAAAATTTGCAGCCAATTTAAGTCAGCGGTACTGTCAGAATGGTAAGTCTCAACTCTGTGTAGATACATTAATGCATAGAAACTCTCTGCCTATCCTAAGTTCAAAGTGGAGTATGAATTAAAGTGTCCATGCTGCAAATGGTGCAAAGCATAAATATGAGCGACTACTTTTTTTTTTTCTTTCTATTTATCAGTTCACTCACCAGGCCAATCACAGCAGAAACGACTATTGCAGCCAGGGCACACTGTGAAGAAAACCAAAAAAGAAACCCAAGGTGAGAAACCAACTTCCTCATAATTGAATATAAGGCCTACAAGGCCACAACAGATTTGTTTAAATTCTTCTAGTGTACTATCAATGGAGACTAAAGGTAAACAGCAGTGGCAGTGGCGGGAACATGGAAACCAACCTGTGGTATGAACTCAAATAATGGAGTCAGGAATAAAAGAGCACAGCCCATAACTATCCCAGTAATGATTCCGGATAAGCCAGTTTTTGCCCCACTCTCATTGCTAACAGCTGACCTAGAAAATGAACCTGCATAGTACATGTGAAAGGACAATCCCTACTTAGCAGTCCGTTACCAAGTGAAATTATGACGTGAACATGCTTTTGTAGGCAGAAAAAGATGCTCAATATTTATCAGAAAAATCTTGAAGGTCCCAGTTCATTGTATCTCTCACCTGTTGAGGGATAGGAGGAGAAGAAAGAGCCAAAGATATTGGCTAAACCAAGACCAACCAACTGGGAAATGAGAATAGTAAATTAGCTTTTCCATGCAAGGTAAACCAACCAAGCTAAATGATGAATTCATCAATAGCATTAACACATCTCTAACCATCCTTTCAAAATACATCTCTAATAGCTTGATGCTGTCTAACCAGAGGCAATGGAGCATTCATACAGTAACTGAGTCACTTTGGACCCAAAATTTCTTGCACCAAATTTTTTTACAGTTTAAACTGCGCACCTCCTGACTTGAATCGAGCTCATATCCATTCTTTGCAGCCAAGGCTTTGGCAATCCCAACAGATTCCTAATAAGTTCAAGGGTCAGATTGGAAAGTATAGCTCATATTTTAAGAAGCAAAATATATAGCATGGCCATTGTAATTGATTCTCTTACCAATATTGCTACCCCAGTAATGAGAAATGCTGTGGGTATTAGAGACTTTGCATATCCAAAATTCTTTGGAACGGAGAAACTTGGGAGACCTTGAGGTATCTCTCCTATCTATAACAAGACCAATTTCCTCGATCAGCCAGAGTCATAGTTCATATAAATTCAGAAAGATCATAGGTGGAAACATCCATGAAGGAGTTTCATTACTGTAGACAAATATCCAGAAGGGAACGTAAATTAGCAATTAGTTCGCTGCTATAGAGATAAGCGAGAATTAAGTTGTCTAATACGAATTGTACGTCTGTACTAAACACTCCCTAGTCTTAGAATAGATTAGTAGGCTAACTAAGAGGCTAACAGATGCATGGGTGACTGCATTTGCATTACTTTCATGGCAGGAAAGTCCTGGACTGTTGATCTCTTATGTTGCATATCTGAGGACAATCACAGTAGAAGTGTAAACAAAAAATATAGGCATGTTTTAAGCATGTTTTCAATTACTGCCTCCCCTGAACCAAGTAACTATTCAGATTGAAGATAGGATCAAGCATACAAAACCCCGATTCGAGTATATTTCATTTACTTCGGCCACATGTTAAACATACAGTTCTTTGCAAGCTTTGCTTCAGGAACACGTTACACTCACCAATGAAATAGATGAAGGATGAAATATTGTTGCTAAAGTGGTCCCCAAAACAACACCGGTCAGGGGTCCTGCAGCTCGAAGAAATCTGAATTGCTTCCTCGATTTTCCCTTCAACAAGAATGCAGCAATAATAAATAGAACGGCATGGTACTACATTAACAAAGGTTATCGAAAGGCTAAGTGATTTCCATACCAAATGCTTCATAATAAGGAGTACAGCAAGTATGCCAGATCCCATCACGAAAGGAGGCCACGAGAACTACAAAAGCAAAGCCTGCTGTTAAAGAAACGAAGTAATGAGTGGTAATACAGGGCCTCGCCTTAAAAAAATGTGTAGATCACAAGCACCAGAAATTATCTCCCATCCCAAAAGAACAACAAAAAAGCATACGAAAAATGCCACCCAGAAAGGCATTCTACTGCAAAGTTCAGATCATTAGCTACATATTGCTACACATGTTTGGAAGCTGCAGCAAATCCTTCACGGAAGCTGTTTCCAATTTCAGTTTCATAGTTCAACCGGTGATTTCAGAAGCATTCAATCAATAACAACCGAAACTCTTCACTGATTCAAAGAGCACTTCCAGATTTAGTAGTTGGAAGCTCTCTAATCGGATAACAAAAGGTGATCGTCATAGCACAACAGGTTCTAGCCATTATCCTTTATGTATAATAACATCACACGAAGCCTGCACAAGCCGTCCTACCTGGTCTGCACCAGCTATTATGCTCTGAATCAGTGGCACAATCTTGCTACTCTGTGTGATGTTGTATCCCAAGAAATACTTTGCTTGTGATAGTCCAATCACAACAGCTGAAGCAGTTGTGAAGCCAGAAATAACAGAGTGGCTGATGAATCGTAAAAGCCATCCAAGCCTACAAAATGAAGAGAGCAACGATAAAACAAGTTACTATGAACCATGGGAGCAAATAGGACATGACTAAAAGTCTGAAAGACCATAACTTTACAAGAAGGAGCCCAGTGTACAAAATGGGAGCATCACCTACCTTAGAAGACCCATAATGCACTCCAGCATTCCAACCATAAGCGCCAGTACTACGGCGAGTTCAGTGTACAGCTCGTCTGAAGAACCAGCAATTCCCCTGAGAACATTAGACACCAGGAGGGAAACCAAGGCCACTGGACCAATCGCCAGCTGCCGCGATGATCCGAATATTGCATACACAAAGATGGGGACGAAGCCAGTGTCTAGCTTGCATAAACAACCATCCCGGAGTTTGAGAAAGCTTAAAGAAGACTGATTTTAATTAGTTTTACTCCAGAGGTCTCAATGTATATACTTACACAGTCCATAGATTGGTTCAAGCCCTGCTAATTTTGCATAAGACATAGCCTGTTTAAGGAACAATAACAAAAATTTCAGGCACCAAACAAAAAACAAAAGAATCAAAGTGACCCAGGCACCAATTCCGCCATTAATGACCCAGGCAAATCAGCACAGTGAAAGAAAAAAGGATCCGCAAGGCTGGAACACGATTGGAGGAAATGGTAACGAACGCATTTATGTAAAGTGTGGGGGGCGCAGATAACGCCATCCCTAATTTCCGATTTGGAACGACCAATAAATACGTTGAATACAACTATACAAGCCCGACGTTACGGCGGGGAAAGAATGACCTGAGGGACGAGCATGATGCCGATGGTGAGGCCGGCGACGAGATCGACCTGGAAGTCGTCGCGCCACCTGTAGGTTCGAATCCAACGGTAACAAGGGAAGAGGCCTTCGACGAATTGCAGGAAGGTGAGGCGCTTCCATTTGGCGGCGAGACCGGAGAAGAAAGCGGCCGGAGAGGCTGGAGAATTCGAGGAGGAGGAAGACGAAGCGGCGCCGGCGGTGGGATGCTGGAGAGGAATGATCTTGACAGGCCGGGAGACTCCCCCGGCGGTGGGCATGGCCGGGGAAGAGAGGTCCGGGTAGCTGGACGAGGCGTAGGTTGAGTCCATGCGCACTAGCGGCGCAATGGAGCGCGGAAGAAGAAGAAGACAAAGAAACTGCTCCTTCCCCACAAAACAAAACCAGATTTGTGGCGCAAAGGAGAGTTGACAGAGAAAAGGCGGCTTTTCGGATTTGTTTGAAATTTTGCTTGTGGCTTTTGAATTGATGTGATCTCGAATGATAATGTTCCGGAAATTAGAAGTTCTTGTGCGCAAGAAATTAATTGGCGCGAATAGGAACAGGAACAACAGATTTAGTTAGAAAGGGGCGATGGATTATGATGATGATGATGACGACGACGATTTTACGAAGACATGGGATGGGAAGAAGAACTCATTTGACTCTGTGCCACTGAATGTAGACGCTGTACGGAGTAAGGTTCAATGGTGACCAAAGCACAACAGACACGTGCACGCAAATTCCGAATAACCTATTTGCTGCTGCTGCTGCATTTTTGCTGTTGGCGTCAGGTTTCCTCCATTTCGGAATAGCTTACCCCGTAAATTGCAGTAATCAATGTTGTTTTGTGAGTATGTGCTACGCGATAGTCTTCGTTCGATTTCGGCTCTGTTGCATCGAGAGTAAAGTAGTGGTGGAGCCAGCATTTCACATCACCCCTGTCGTCTTTTTAAAATATAAATATATAATTAATTAATTAAAATTAAAAATAATTATATCTGCATAATTCTTTCATAGATTAAAAATAACTGATTATACAATCATTGTTTTTAACAACCACGGAGATTTCATATTGTGAAAGAAACGCAGAAACATTCGTCGTCTACACTATTAAATAAGTATTTTTCAATGTATCTCACTAAATTAGCATTAACAAATTGGTCGCCAAATCGACTTGGAAACTTGTTCTTAGTATAACTCAAAGCTGAAAATGTTTTTTTTTTACATTTGCAGTTGTAATTCGTAGAATCAAAACTAGTGGATTTGTCGCTAGTTGTCGGCCTGTCGCTAGACAATTTCAGGGTTGTTGGGAAAAAATCAAATAGGCATAAGGATAAAAGAGATCCAATTAGGTCTTTATTGCAATTATAATTCGTTTATAGCATAATAAATTAATTTTATGTCAATTTATGAATAAGTAATGAGTTGTGCTGTAGTGACAAAAATACTCTAATATTACCTATAGGCGTTGTTTTGCATCCTAACAACATAATAAGGAGATTCCAGCCCGCAGCACCATTAATTCCTGTTTTCCTGCGCTCTGCGCAGTTCACGGGAGGCCAAATTGGTAAAATGACTCCGTTTTCATTCGATTGAGATGGGTCGCCGGTAGAAAATGTCTGGGCCCTCCCTCAAAACCCAATCCTGTCGCGCCTGCAAACTTGAACGCCCTCATCGGGCCAGATTGGGCTGTCGGACTGACCGAGACTCTCTTGCTATCTCTCTCAAACGAACCCCAACTTCCAGCCGCCGCCTGCCCAAACAACCTCGCAGCGAAACTCACCGCTCGCAGCCTCTGTGAAATAACCTCACCGCGGAGCCTGTCTTTCGCGTCCCCCAACTCTCTCGCTGCCGGCCGGACCAAACCTCACCGCCTCTCTCGCTGGCGGCCGTAATTTCAACATCGCAGCTGTCTCTCTCTTCTTGTCTTTCATGTCCGCCAACTCTCTCGCTGTCGGCGGCCGGCCGGAAATCTAACCTCACCGCCCAACTCGAGCACAAACTCGGAGCCTGTCTTTCGTGTCCCCTAAATCCGGCAGGCCGTGTTGTGGATGTGGAGATTTTGTTTCCCTTTCCTTCTCCAATACACCCTTCTATTCTGCCCCGGTGCCAATCGAGCCACCACAAGACCCACACTTCCTCCCTCACAAGCGGTGCGATTTCTCAATTTACTACTGAAGAAAACTTGATTTATAGTTCAATAACCTGCTCAGCAACTCTGTCAATAAGGTAACAAATCATGTCGCATGTTCATGTCTTCCCCCTTTTTTGTTTGATCTGTTGCATATCACCAATGATGGTACTGTTACTACATTCACATCATTAACAAGAGGCCGATTGTGCACGATTCTACTAGCTAGATCGTTTAGTTAAATGCTATTTGATTCTTCTAGACTAAAAGTTGTAATTGACTGATATAATTGGCCTATGATATGTATTGTCTTTCAATTCACTGCTATTGATCTCGCAAGAATCAAGTTGAAGTGTTAACCATTCCAATGTACGCAATTGGACATCTGCAGACTAAGAGTTTTTGTGAGGCTTTGAACTTTGCTTCACACGATTTTGAAGTAAGAGTTGTCTGCTTAGAGTTTCAATACAAATTAACATTCTCATATTTTTCGTTTTTATAATTTAAGGCTGCAGTATAACATTTTGGTGAGTTGATAGGTTGAATGTTCTCCCAAGTAGTTTGGAGATCCCAAATCCCAGTCTAGGCTTGGGCATTTTATTTGGAATGTCGTTATTGGTTCTTTGAGGCATTGCCCGCAATGACGTTCATGTGCCTGCAGATTGTGTACAACCATGTTGCCAATTGAAGCTACAAGTCTGGCAGATTATGGGGGTGACGATTGGTGCTGCAACCGAAGATATTTGATGGATGCCACAAGGATGAACTAAGGGCAACGATAGGGCAGGAGATGTGGAGTTGAACACCAGAAAGAACTTAGCATTTGTTTCATGCAATTAAAAATGAGGGTTTTGTGATTTAAAAATTAAATGATTTATCAATGATTTTAGGTATTATATATAAATTTCCAACAACCATTTGTTTGCTGAGATGTTTTGATCATAAATTTATGGGTTTGAGATGTAGAACTTAAAGTTCAAAAGTACCTTATTATCATTTTTTATTTGTCTGCCATGTTTATCATATGTACACAAATAAGGAGAATATGTACAAATAATCATAATGTTACCGCAAGTACAATAATAATAATAATAATAATAAACAAGAGTTTTATTTTACGTCAAAAGTTGTATAACCAGAGAAATTTCGTTTAATTTTAACGTAAAATATATCAATTATCAATTTTTTTATAAAAGGTGATACCAATTTAGTAATAGCAAGAAGGAAAATATTAGAACACAAGAAAGGGCATAAAAAATCTTACTCATATTCACGGATTAATTAAATAATTGTATTATTGATTTATTATTAATTAATTGATTAATTATAATGTAAAATATCTAAAAGTAAGTGCAACCTTGACATATTAAATTTCATGAGTATATATGTGTAAAATTTCATCACAGATTTATAGCATATTTCAAATCTCCCATCAACACTTGGGATTCACGAGATCATACACTTGGGATTCACAAGATCATGAAAACACTCGGAGTTGGACATAAAAATTCAAGGACCCAACGGATTTGATCCAAAAAATGATGGAGCAATTAATGAATTTCTATTAAATCCATAATGATCATGGATTTGTGCCCTCATCCATCCCTCAAATCGAAGATGCAAACGTCGCTCAAGCGCACGTGGGGCTGAGGTTCCCTGGGTTATCAAATAAAAAAAATCCAAGATGCAAACCACCCCTAAAATGCAGAGGAAGAGGATAAAAAAAAGCATAAAGTTGTCAGTAGGAAAATATATTTTCACTTGAATTTGTATAAGTTGTTGCTTAATTAGTATTTCTCTATTTTACATAGCACTTTTATGGATGGCTTGGTGACTGAGGATTTTAGAATTTGGGTCAACTATGAAGGTTGTATATGATTAGAAACTTGGAATCATCCTAAAGATCAAGAATATGGTGCTTGATTTGTATAATCTATTTGACCACTTCCTTATGATTTAAATGTGGAAATTTAAATAGTTGGAAATATATATGATATGGTCGACATGTATATTTGCACATAGAAATAATTTTACACGGAACTTTATTCCCACAAATTTAATTGAGTGTTTCCATAGCATCACCTTATCTTTGTGTATATCTCCTGCTTTGAAAGCACCAGAGTAGGAAAAACCATTCATCAAAGTTCATTTTCATATTATTTTTTATTTGTTATGAATAGGGTGCATGTTTAATTGTTTATCTTACTTATTCATGGATAATGTCTTCAACAACCTCTCAAGCATGGGTTGTATAAGCATTGGTATCTATTGTTCTTGGTAATACAAGTGCTTCTGGAAAAGAAAAAAAAAAACTCCTCTTATTATATTGTAAGTATAATTTGGTGAATTAATGTAAGGAACAAAATACACGTTCCTAGCATTTCCTTGCAGCTTTCATCTTATTACTATAACTATCATGTTTAGTTTGTTGGTTGTACGAGTACCTTGAAGCACAGAGGGGATCAGACTGGGAGTTATACCAGAGGTTGATATGAGTGTTGGTTTATTGCGATTTGCATCCAAGGGTTATGTAGCCAAAAGGAAGCTCAAGTCTATAGCTCTTTCGCTAGGGATTCTCATATTGGTCAGGATGAAGAGATAGGATTAGAAGAAATCATCACTAGAGAACCCGGAAAGATAAAGCAGAACTATTGAGAATCTGGGATAGGATTTGAAGCCACAAGGAAGTCGTTCGATTGTTGGTGAAGTACAGTTATAGGCTTCGGCCTTGGTTCCACTTACCTGGTCATTCAATATGGTGGGTGAAGTATTGACTCATTCTTCTGTGGAATGAAAATCAATCAGACTATTGAATTGGTAGCCCAAGTATTTATGTCCCATTAATTTTTTTTACTGTTCATCTCATATAACATTTTTCAACACATTAGAGATGTTATTGCTTATTATTATTGTTTGTAAAATTACAAATCAATTCTTTTAATTCATCTTCATAATAAACATTCAGTGGTTCTATCCGCATAGAAAGTTTAAATTCAGCTTATCCCATAAACACTTGCATACAACAATTTTTAGATGAAACTTTCGTAGGTATTAATAAACACATATTTTTTTGCTAAAATTTTGTTCAAACACCATTTTATTACAAAAGTTATCCAAAAAAATTATTTTCAATTGGGTTTATATTTCAACCTTAATCAAATTATATGATTAGACGTAAAATACCCGCCAACCGGGGGCGGGCCCGGTGCTAGCACAGAGAGGCATGTTAATGGGCTCAAGGAAAAGATTTTTCACCGTTCCAAATATTTTACAATTAAATTTTGATTTTCAATGAAATGCAGGAGAAGGATGAGACTATTTATGATGAATATAAAATTTCATTAATGAAGGTGAAGCTGTGTGGAGAAGATGCTTTTGATGGAGAAACAATAAAAAAGAAATCCAAAAGGAAATTTGCGATAATTCTAACAGCAAAGAGTACATTGAAGTTGGTTTTGAATATTAAATTTTTTATTAATCGGTTACTTGCATGAGTTTTGTTGTTTACTTTTAATAAGGACTTCTTTATATGAGTGTTAAGATGTTGTAAAACTCATGATACATGTTTTTTTTTTATATTTTTAGTTATCGAATAATTTGTGTCCTTTCATGATACCAAATAGATGATTCGGGTAATTACTCTTATTGTCTATACTCTTGATATAATTGATCCGGCCAACGGACGGGCCTGTGACTAGTCACCAATATGCATATATATGACATATTTTTTTTCCTCCGAAATTTACCCCGTTCCGGGACAAAGTCCAATGGGCTTCCCTCCGCCTATGAGTAAAGGTTAGAACGGATCCTAGAATTATTAATTGGACTGCTCATAGAGTAACACGTAAAATCATTTCTTTGACTTTGTTGCAGTTTGAATGTTTTCGATTTTTTTTTTTTTTTTTTACCTGGCTAATGTTATACTCAGACTGGTTGGGCGCTTTTATGGTGAGATATTTCTTGCGATTATTGTTTCTTTCTTGACATTTCTCGGTAAAAAAAGAAAACAGGGCCACCCAACAACAAATGAATTAAACAGAACTTGAGAGGACTGGATTGCATAGAGGAGACAAGAATCATACAATTAGAAAAGGATTAAACTTTAATTCTTATCTATGAAGCTACACTAAGTAACCATCCTCCACCTTCTCCCACATCCCATCTCCTCTGCCCTTACACTCTGCTCCACCTACTCTAATTCAAGCGGTTTGACAAACATTACAAAATGCTGTGTTTGATTAGGATTGCAGAAGGAACTGGAGGGAGCAGATATGGAAGAGAGCAACAAGACCATGACACTGGAAAAAAGATAAAAGGACATTCTGTCATGCTGGCTGCTGCTGCTTATGATTGAGCATGCTCGGGTTTGTGCGAGTACTCATAGTCGAGATGAACAAAGGCTCTCTCGATCTCTGGCAGCAGCTCTAGCTTCTCCTGCAGCGACTCGCCAATGTCGTGGGCCTCCTGCAGTGGCATATCTGCAGGCAACACGATGTCAACCTCCACAAAGTAGTGGGAACCGAACGTGTAAGCCCGGACCGTATCAATGTGCCTGATGGATTTGTGGTGGTTCCATGAGAGGTAGGTGAGTTTCTGGAGATAGTCTGGAGTAGCCGATTTGCCAACGAGGGAGTGCACGTTTTCCAGAACGGTCATTGACCATGTCCGGATTGTGTACAATGCCAGCTGCAGGGAGGAATCAAAATAGATTATATTACATGTTTAGCTTTGATAGCTACAGTTACGCCACTGAGCAGAACTGCCAAGATGAGTCGAGAACTTGCAAAGCAAAGGAAAAGAGGGAGGGCACTTACAATTATGGCTCCAACAGGGTCCATCCAGGCGTCAATGTAGTTAGCAAGAAGTGCAGCAAAAAGGCCAATGAAGTTTGTGACAACATCAAAGAAGTGATCTTGAGCATAGGCTTTGATAATCTCATTGGTAAACGTGCGGCAATAGACCATCAGAAGCAGTTTCACCAGGGTTACTGACAGCATTATTCCCACAACCCAACGCTCTTGATCTCTGGTAAGAACAAATTCTTTCTCCTGGATGATAAGCATTAGGGGGAAAAGGTCAGGACGCCTTCTTTCAACATTTTCCTTCATGAGGATTTTGATCAACTTACACTAGACATTAATGCACGTGCCGACTCCAAGATTATCTGCAGTCCCAGAGTCGCCATTACAGATGCAAAAACAAGAATTCCCTGCATAACATTCACAGTTTATTATTTCATTCATCCAAAAAATAAAACACACAGACAATTTATTTTAGCTTATTCTAAAGGCCATCGACCAATTCAGTAACAAATCAAACTTGCAATCTCCATCATATCTATGTTACGTGAAGTATCAACTTTCTTTCACATCAAAAGAACAAACACACAAGCCATGGTGTTCCTTGGATAAAGTTTCATCCGGCTCGAGATGGGTTCTTATTATTATCTTCATTCAATAGAACCCGCAGTGACTGTGCAGAATACACCACTGATTAGATACCAGAAATGTCAGAAAATATGGATATAGGAATAATTACTTCTGGAGTTCTGGTCAACCAAACAGGATAAAGTACCGGCTAGAGAAAGGTATCAAACAAGGGCCAAATATTGCATCCCAGAGGGAGAAAAGCAGAAAACTAAACATATTCACTATGTGGCAGTTCACATATGGAGAGCAGCGAACTAAAAAGAGACAGATGATCTAAACATCCACATAGATGGAGAGCAACAAAACTAACCATAAACAAATGATTTAAGAATTTAAACCGGTACTGTAAAAAAAATTCAATAGAGTACTGACCAAAGGCTGCATGCGCTTCTTTCCAATAGGGTATTGATAAGGGTTTGGAGTTTGCATGGAGAAAGCAGTAAACCAGAGGATGAAGCCTGAAAGAAGATCGAGTAGAGAATCCAAAGTCGAAGCAATAATGGCCAATGAACCACTTCGGACTGATGCATAGACCTTTGCAGCAAAAAGAATCATATTAGCCACATTTGAGATTCTAATGGCAAAAGTCTCACTTTTCGCCAACCTTTCCTCCTCCTCCTGCAAGCCATACAAACAATTAAAATGAGATGGCACATGAGGAATCCTGCAGTAATTCTCATCCAAAGAAACCACCAGGAAAGCTCCCAACACAAACCTTTGACATTCCAGGAATAAAGCCACGGTCTGCTAAGGCATCCATCTCAGTGAATCCCTCTAGCATTTCTACCTGCTGCTGGTAGTACACTGCAATATGATCTTCTGGACCTGAACCCATCAGAAAACAATTATTACAGATCACTCAGAACATCTTACTTTAATTCTCAGATGGCTTAGCACTCAATATGTCACAATTCCAACTTAAGCTAGTTGGTTTATTCCAAAATCTAACATCAAACTCAAAAAGATATAGATATTTCAACAGCATAGGAGAAAAGAACAATTGATAGCTCTCATTGTACCTCTACCAAATACCAAATCCAGGACATTCAAGCAGAGAAAGCAAGAGCGAAATTCAGTCCACTGCCTTGATATGTAAACATATGCTAAACTACATCGTTCAACTCATATGCTCCGTATACCAGCCAATTGAAACATGCACTACTTGGTGAAACAAATGAAATTCCATTTCTGGGTTTCTCAGTTAGCCTGACAACCCCAAAACCAGATAAATAAAGTGACCAGAAGAGCTCAGACAAAGAAAAGAAAACAAACATGCCCACCATGCTGCCACCACCATATCTCAACTCCCCAAGAGGAACCTATTGAAGCCAAAAGCCATCGAGGGAATCAACTTAATCAGCATAAAGACTAGACTTACTAGAGCCAACAGATGATCCAAAGCCAACCAAACCACCACACATGATCAAGCGGCTAAAAGGGCACAAAGTATTTTACCAGCAGCTGCCGGAACAGCAACAAACCCAGAACCCATAAAGGAACTCATACAGCCAGCTTATACAAGACAAAAAAATCACCAACTCAACTTGCTCTACCTCTCTCACACTTGATTAAACATTAATTTCCCACAGTAAGACCCAAGCAGAAGAGTTAAGAAACAAAGGGCATGGCGTTTTATAACCAATAAACTAACATTAAACAATCACCACAAGATATTTGAAAGAATGCCCAACCAGAGTTGATGGGCGAAAAGGCAGAGGATTCCATACAACACAAATAGGGAGCAACCAGAATCTTTTCCGTTCCCAAACAGTACGTCGAAACTTTCTCCACCATTCGTTCCCTTTCATAAGAGGATTGGAATCAATCCCAGATGTCTAGAGATTTTTTGTGTTACCTGAAACTCCTGGACAGCAATCGTGGATTCCACGAGGCTGCTTTTTCTCCTTGTGCTCTGGCGACCGCTGGTATCCGTCGAAGTTCAACCGCCACGATCGGTCGATTCCGTTGCTGTCTACGCTTAGAAGGGAAAACTTCTCGTCGTGGCAGCTATCGCCGCCGCTGTCCGCCATTTTTTTTTCCGGCGTCTGTTATGCTGAAACCCGAGATGCAGGGGAAGTGGAGCAACGACGAAAGGAGTGATGAAGAAGAAGAAGAATTAAGCCAAGTATTGCAGGAAGGGCGGAAAGGAAGAAGAGGGTACTCGGAGTGGAAATTTAAGAGCTAGGCGAGGGTAGTTTGGGGAAATCAACAGGGAAACTTTACGAAAAGGTGTCCACGTCCGACGATCTCCGGTCAGTATGCAGACGGCGGAGGGCTTTTTGTGGACCGGAAAAATAGGGGAGAAACTGAAAGTCCACGTGGCGGATAATAATTAGAGGGAGGTTGAAGAGCTTGGGATTTACGTGGAGTGGGTCGGTGGACTCGTGGACCACTTGGAGATTCTGATATTTTGGAGTCGAAGTTTAGACCGTATGATCAGGGACCGGCGGAGTGATTCCCGTTGGAGGGGAATAAAGCTCCGGCGCCGGCACCGATCGGAAGGAAGTAGGCAGCAAACGGCAAATCATGTTATGGTTCTTAAATAGGGGTTTACAAGGATTAACATGTTACCTACCAAACTAATTAAAGCATAATTTTTAATAACTATAAAATAATATTTTAATCCGATCGATCAAATTAATATCGCAACCAAATTAATCAAATTAAAGTTCAATTAGTTGGTTGATCGTGTTAACCAATAGTACTCACCATTATCATTGCACAAGATAAAAGTTTCATGTTAATGCGTGAATCTATAATGTATAACGAATAACAATCAACTCGTAGTTAACCATTGACAGAAAGTGCATGCAAGTAATAATATGATTATATCTTACCGTCGTTAGAAGTATTCACCTAACAACAATATATATCATCGTTATGACTTATGAGGGGTTATGAATTGGGCGTGTCTATGTGAACTGTCATAGTCTTTCAACAGTTATGGCTAAAAAGATCATCACACTTCAAGTTTTAATCAAGCATATAATGTATTAATGTGTGAGTTTTATGTAAATTAGGAGCTCGTATCTTGTTACGTACACTTGCAATTAGGGGTGAACAAACTCACCCGCAAACCGACCCACTCGTCCAACCCGTCTCAACCCACCCGTATTTATCGCTAAAACGAAGATTTTGGGTTGGGTGAGGGTTTTCTATTGTACAACCCGCCTCTTTTGGGTTGGGTTGGGATTTTAGATTATACAGCCCGTAGAACCCGACCCAACCCGTGTTCAAATAATTAGTATGAGTTTGTATCCAAAAATATTTATGTCATATATAGCCATAGTTATGAGAAAATTAAGATATTTCACCATATTTTTCTCTCGTGGTCTCCCTAATCTAATGCATTATTCGGCTTAAAGTTTAGATATAAATTTAATATAGCTATGATTCACGTAATTCTTTTTCTTGTGTACAATTTTAATAGAATAACATATTATGGATGCGTTCATTTATAACATTTTTAGCCAATTTCAACAAATTTCGTGAAAAAAACTAGATATAAGTTGAAGTAAATCAAATTTTATTAAAATTCAAACAACATTTGTGAATTTTGATACATTTAACCTCGATTTATTCGTTTGAATTTTTAATTAGTTATAAAATATTTTTATGGTGTAGAATAATTACATATTTTGTGTTGGGTTGGGTTTTTACTTAAAAACATTGTCAACCCGACTCAACCCAATTAGAAACAAACCGTAGGGTTTGAAATTTTTTGGGTGGGTTTGAGTTTAATATTTTTCAAACCGTAGTGCATGGATCATGTGATTAAAATGTCTAAACCCGGACCACCCGACCCATGTACACCCCTACTTGCAATTACAAATATAGTATAAAAACAAATACATTTTTTTTTTACGAATCCAAAAGAGAGGAATATCATACTCTTGATTGATTTGCAGAGTATTAAATACATGGTATACAATATATTGGATATATGACTAATTTTTTTATTTATTCTATTGGTTAACCGTATTTAGAACTAACCCATACACCCAAATAAAACAAATTATAAATTTATATAAACTATATAAATTATCTAATTAATTGAACAAAATTATCCGAATACTATCCGTTAAACAGGTTTGTGCATATATGAAAGAGGTAGTTTATCAACGTCCAAATGAAAAGTCCATCAGCTACAATATATTATAGAGCATATATTTGTCAGGCTGGCAGTTTTTCATGATGTTAAACTCCCTGTGTTTTCGTGAATGATGGTTCTGAAATACTCAAAGGTGTAGTTAGAGATAGGGTTTGGTGATGGCATCTTCCGCCTCCTTTAAATTCTCACGCAATCTGCTGCATATTGTCCTGCGATCCAAGCAAAAAGCATATTTGTCGGCTGACATCCATAAAAACTGGCAGAATGCTTTCCCAAAACCATTTTGCAAAAGGGTCGACATTCAGTTTGGCACTTGCTGCACATTCTCCCTTTGTCTCTCCAGACTCCAGTTCCCTAGTTTCATCATCCAGTTTGTTGTCTCCTTCCACCAGTTTCAAAGCATGAGAAGCAGAATTCGACCATTCACATCGTGAATAAAAAAATGTTGCGGTCCAACTTGAACACCACAAGCAGCAAAACGACATAAACAACCGCAACAATAACATGATTCTCAATGATATCCAAGTTTCAATCCCAGCCCCTCCTAACTCTCCGCCACAACTGCCGACAAAAGATCAACCCCACATCTACAATATTACATGTTCGGTGTTGATGTGACTTGAATCGGACTATCAGCCTCTACGACTGGTAATCGGGGGTCTCGCTGCCCAGTCAGCGAGTGGGGTCCAGGGGCAACGCCCCGGTGGAGGTGCGGGGGCAACGCCCCCGGCCCACGGTGCATGGGCTCAATGTTATTTGGGTTCGGGTTCTGGGCCTGGTCTGTAACCGTTTTCTTTGCTAGATTGGATTAGGTTTAGACCCACATGGAGAAGTACTATAAATACTTCTCATACTCTTCTGTAATCTGTAATCTCCTCGATATAGTGAAACTGACTCTCTCTCGCCCGTGGACGTAGCTAACACACATCGTGTTAGTGAACCACGTAAATCGTGTGTCGTGTTTTTCGATTCTCGCTTTCGTATTCTTGCTTTGTCGATTCCTGCGATTTCCCGATCCGTAGCAGCGCGTTTATAACATTCGGTTTATTCGAAAAACCAAGGTTAACTATTTATTAGTTTTTTTTTACAAGAGATAATAATTTATTGATCAGAAAAAAGATAATTACATCATGAAATTTAACGATGCCCTGAAATCAAAAGAATGACACGAAGATGGGTGCAAAGAAAGGGCTTTGCGAACCACCAAATAGGCTACCCTATTGTTACTCCGGCCTACAAATCGCACTCTGAAACCACTATGAATCGAAAAAGAATATAAAACCTCCTCTAAGAGGGCCCCTATCCGACTATCTTGGGTGTCCCTGTGGTTAATCTTGTCAATAATTACTTTAGCATCGCCCTCGAATCTCATCATAGTGAACCCGTTAGCCAGACAGCGGAATAGAGCCTCTCGGAGGACCAGCAACTCAACGATCATAGGATCCTCAATCACGTCAAATTGAACCCCTTTTGCGAGGAGGACCTCCCCATCCTGGTTACAAACAATCATCCCACCAGCCGAGTGAGAATTATTCTTAGTCGCACCATCCCATTTGCAGACCACCGAACTGTTGAGGGCAGTATGAGCCGGTGTAGCTATCGAGAGAGAGGATTGAGGAGTCCTATCAGCAGGCAAGTTAACCCATTCCTGATATTGTTTGATGGAACTGTCGCATTAAGGCTATGATCCCAAATTGTCTTCCTTCAAAAACCACCAAAAAATGAAGAAAGAGCATTGTAACCAACTAGGCTACATTTCTATTTTTGCTGACTATGAGAGATATGTTTATTAGTCAAACCTTTTTTAGATTGTTTTTCATTTGCCAAATCTATCGAAATACTAAGAATTAGCCAAATATTTTGTTACATTTCAAAGTAATAGTCATTACTTTGTTACCATTAACTATTTGTTAACGATGCTTCAGCTCAACGTCCAACTCGGTTGCTACCTCATCAATGAATAAAATAAAATTGGGTAAACAGTAGTTATTAGCCAAACATTTCTCTTTTTTTTTTTTATTAGCCAAACCTATTGAATTACTAATAATTGACAAAATCTTTTGTAATGCATCAAAATATTAGCCATTTATATGTTACCGTTAATAATTTGTAACTCTTTTCTTAGTTAAAATACTAAAATTTTGAAATGTTGACCTCCATGTGTCTCTTCAAAGTCATTATCATGTCGCCAAAGTTAACATTACTAACAAAATTGTTAACTGGAAGTTAATATTTGACTAATTATTAGTAATTCAATATGTTTGACTAATAATAAAAATGCAAAAAAGATGGTCAATGGTTGACCGAATGATGTGGCATTTTTTGACTGCCACGTTAGAATATTCCTTCCAACTCAGCGCCACATCTGATACCTCACCATCATCAAACGAAAAAGTTAACGGAGATTTAACGTTTGGTTAATAAATAAAATTCCAATAGGTTTGAATAAAATAAAAGAATTATGAAAATATTTGATTAATAAATAGACATTACCTAAAAAAACGTTGATTCGTAGAAGAACCAGAACACAAACTTGGAGCAAACACCAACAAGATACAAAATTATTATACCCAATTTTGGGATACCGCCGTATTCACCCTCGTCTTTAACTCCAGTAACGGTGGCTTGTAGCTTATTCTCGATCAAGGACTCGCCAAGCTTCAAGCCACTGAAGGCATCACTTGCAACTTCGAGGCGCACAGATTGCTTATTTGCCCGAGCTTCGTGGAGGCATTCCTTGGCGACTATGTTGCCATGAGTAGGGTTGGAAGTTTGCTACCGGTATTTGGGATATACCGAATACCGTACCGAATTTGTTTATATTTGTAACAACGCATATTTCAAAGAACAATGGAAGAAGGAAAACTGATATTCCCTTCTGTACTTCCTTTCATTCATACTAGCACAGGACCCGGCCCGTTGGCCGAGAGAATTTTGTCTAAAAATATGATATATAATAATGGATATAATAGATGATTTACAATACATGGAATGATTATTTGTACCTTAGTTATGCACATAACATTTTTGAAAGTGATCCAACTATGCATAATGTGTTTAGACCTATATGAAAAGAGGAAAAAGTATGGTATAAGCATTACATGCAATTACTGAATGAAAAAGAAATAAATAAACTAATTGTCATTCATTGTTTAATTAAATCATATAGTTGAATATTAGAGTTACTTTTCATATTTCATACACACATAATCAACATTTAGGATGAAAGAAAATATATCTCATAGAGTTTAGTATGTCCTTTAAGTTCTTTTCCAATATAGTGCATTCTTTTTTACCACACAGTTGGTAATGAATATGAAGTTGCTTGATTATAAATATATAAAACATGATGTTAAGTTTTCGCTAATAGTTAGTTGAACAATGTATTGTGTACAGACTTCCCAAATTACTCTCATAACACAAACATGTCTAGCAACAATGTAATAATTTTCACTGTAGCAAATATTTTTTTCATGAAGTAATTCAATAAATATCATGTATGAATTGGAAATCTCCACGCACTAAACTGAGAGATAGAGGGCTAATGTAGGTCGACTTGACAACTCCTCCATTTGAGATATCCTTACAGCAAAGTGAAGAGTTCTGCAAGTCAAAACAAAATAGAACAAAAGTAAAAGGATCACTTTCTATTTCAGTAAAAGCTGAAATCTTTCAATTTTCTATCCCCACTCCATAAACGAAATCCCTGAATCCTACAAACTTCTTGAATCTCCAAACTTGAAGTCCAATTGAATATATTGTTCCCTGCTAAAACACAGAGAAACTATAAAACACCAACGTAAAACAATGGGAACCCAGCCAAACGTTGTAGAAAGAATGGAATCGAAGCTCAGAAATATAAATAAGAAAAGAAACCATAAACGATAATTTTTATTAGCAACTGTATATCTAGGTATGCTAATCAACATCATGCTTGACTTGGAAATCATATCTCACTTATCCACTCAACTTAAATGTGAAACCCATAACAAAATTAGCCAAGACAGAGGAAACATCCAAGAAGGGTGGTTTATTTGAATGTAATGTAATGTAATTACTAATTAGTGAATAAGAATGAGACCCACATTCTGTAAACACTAAACCCATGGTTGCTCCATTGCAATATTGGAGATTTCAATAGATATCTTTATCATCTACAATTTACTACATCTATTCTAGTCTAATAAATACACAGCCATATCTAAATGCTCTGGAATTAACATATGACATCAAAACATGGTTTCTCATCCTTAATGTTTTTTTATATATAATGATGACATTCCCATCCTTAATATTTTTTTATATATAATGATGACATTCTCATCCTTAATATCTTATATAATGTCAACGCAAATAGATAGAAAGAGTAAAACATGGTACCTAACATACTTGTTCCTTTTGGTTAGGCAAGTAAGGTGTATTTAAACTACAATCGTACATCTTAAGCAACTCAATCATAACCGCGCGGTAGGTTAGTATGAAATTGGATTTCGATTAAGTGTCCGCGCAAAGTAATAAACTATTACCACCAACACACTAAAATTGCATATTCAGAACTTGATGACAGCATATCTCTATAGAGAATCACCATAACAGCAAAACTCAGTCCAACTCTTTCACGCGGCTATGAAGGGATGAAGTAAAGGACCAAACTTGAACATAAGAAAGACTTGTATTAAATGCCAAAAATAGCACCAGAGGCAGAACCCAGATGGATTAATTGATCTTATCCAGCAAAAGAAGAAAGAAAACCAAACTTACATGGACAATGAAAATCCATGGTAGATTGAAACCACCCTGCCCATTCCAGAGGCTTACACACGAAGAGGGAATTTCGGATGCTGGCGGCGGCTTCTTTGTGCTTTATCTCCGACGACGGCAATAGGTGGGAGTTTAGGAATTGATTTGATATGTTAGAGATGATGTTGTTCTGGTTGCAAAGTGGCAAGGGCCCGTTAAAATAGCCAAAAATAGAAAACATAAAAGGCTTGCAGATGGGAGTAGTGTGGCCATACTTGAACCAAGACCAAGAGTGGACAAAACAATTAAGCCCCATCAAAATCCAATTGAAACGTATATATGTACGTGAGAGGAAGTAAGAGATATTTCAGTTTTCGAATGAATAAGATTGAGTATGACATTGGGGGCCTCCGAGCGCCTGTCTCCAATCACACCACCAATCTAACTACAATCACACCATAAACCTAGCTGACTGTTGGCCGGCATACTGAATTACAGCAAAAAGTAAAGGGGAGAAGGAAATAGGGTCGGATATGGAGAACAGGGGAACGCAAAAGTGAATTACGGTAATTTCTGTAGTAGTGGGAGTAGGAAATTCACTATTCCATACAACAGTCCAAAACCAATTATGTACCTAACCATTCGACATTTCAAAGGCAAAATTTGATAGCAAGCCGAACTGACGGCCCAATTACCAGATTGAAAGAGTACTCCAGATGTGAACCCTGCTTGTCTTGATCGATCTTCGTTGACAGCTACAATTACAAAAGCGATTGGTAATCCGGGTATTGATCTCAGTTGCCGCCGTCCGGATTGAAAGAGCAACAGAACCCTTATGGCGAAAGATGTCTGCATTTGTAAGGTCCAGTGTCAATGCTCCTCCCTAAATGGTGTATTCTTCCGGCGTTGGATTTTAACCGATTATGTACCCTGCTTGTCTTCCCACTTAACCGCAACCTAAAATCGACTACTGGCGGGGGAGTTTGGGCCCATATCTGGCCTCCGGGCTGGCCCATTCGGCCACCTGTAAGGTCCAGTGGAAGGTACTTGTGTTAAACGCACAACTTCACTTAATTGATAGTAAATTGACAGTATTGCCCCTCCGGGAAACCCTCTAAAGGCTGCAAATTCAAATTCCTGAAAAGTTAACCCTTGTTTTGCCTTTATATATTTTGTAGATACCAAATCCCTCATTACAAGACAAAAGTGCCAGCTTGGGCAAGTGAAAACAGAGTGAATAGTAAAACTTGAAAATGCAGTAAAAAGGTCATTGTCGACCGTTGGGGTGGCATGTTCCTTGCACGTGATCACTCCAGCTACATTCCTTTCTCTATGGTTTTGGTCCGTGTATATGAAGAAGAAAAAACTGAACTTTTGTCTTGTGTGGCTGTTACCCCCTCACAAGCTGGAGGACAGAGGTTGAGCACTCCAAGCTTGGAGAGAAGAGAGGAGAACAGAGCATGAGACAGAGGCTTTGTCAGGATGTCTACAAGTTGATGTGAGGAGAGAACGTGGAGGATTTTGATGACTTGAGCAAGGAGTTTCTCACGAACCAAGTGGCAATCAAGCTCAATATGCTTGGTTCGTTCATGAAAGGTCTAATTTATGCAATATAAATAGCAAATTGGTTATCACAGTACAGGAAAACAGGATGGGGATGAGGCACCTTGAAGTCCTAAAGAAGATACAAGAGCCACGTGATTTCACAAGTTGTATGAGCGAGAGCTTGATACTCTGCCTCGCATGAGGAATGGGAGACAGTAGACTGCTTCTTAGATTTCCAGGAAACCAAGGAATTGCCTAAAAAGATGTTATATCGAGTGATAGAGCGGCGAGTGTCAGGACAAGAGCCCCAATCAGAATCGCTGAATGCCTTGAAACTGAGAGAAGAATCAGATGGAAATAACAAACCAGTGCCAGGATGCTTTTTTATGTATCACAGAATGCGATTCACTACCTTCTAATAAGTAAGAGTGGGTTGACACATGAACTGACTAACCTGCTGTGTTGAGAAGCTGATGTTTGGTCGAGTTGTTGTTAAATAAATTAACTTGCCAACTAGACTTTGATAAGATGTAGGATCAACCAAATCAGTCCCATCATCAAGCTTTAAATGCACCTTGTAATCCATAGGGGTGGAGACAGGCTTAACACCAAGCTGTCCTGCAGCATCCAGAATCTCCAGAGCATATTTTCCTTAAGAAAGGTGTATTCCCTTGGGACTTTTGGCCACTTCAAGGCCAATAAAATATTTCAAAATGCCAAGATCTTTTATACTGAAAGCTTGATGAAGATGGGCTTGATTCGAGTGATTTCAATGATGTCATTACCTCCAACAATAAGATCATCAACATAAGTTGTCCTGGTGAACAGAGAATGACCAGACTTACTTTGTTGATAAACTTGAGTAAGAAGAATGTCAGAAAGCTTTGAAAACCACTATTGTGAGGCCTGTTTAAGACCATACATGGCTTTCTTCAATTTGCAGACAGAATTTGGTATGTTGGGTGGACAAGCAACACCTGAAGGAAGCTTCATATAAACATCTTCGTCAAGATATCCATGGAGAAATGCGTTGTTTATATCAAGTTGGTGGAGATGCCAGTTTCGAATAGAAGCGATGGCCAGAAAAAAGACGAACGATGGTCATCTTTACAACAAGTGCAAAAGTATCCATATAGTCAATGCTTTCTCGTTGTGTATACCCTTTGGCAACTAAACGTGACTTGAAGCGTTCAATTTCACCAGTAGAAAGATACTTGATACGATAAACCCACTTACAACCAATGGCAAGAGCCCCATTGACACGCTACGACACAACACCAAACTGCGACCAAGTGTAATCGCAGTCCGGAAATGCAGTAAAGTGGCAAGTTCTAATTATCAACCCGGGGTCTAGATCTACTGCCTACTCCGTGAATATCTATTATCTAGCCAACTAAGTCGATTGATTGTGGTTTTAACTAAAAGCAGTAAGAAAACAGGAAATGATTATGTTTTCTGAAGCAAAGGAAGAGTCACTCGGGAATGAGTCCCCCTAGCTCCTTAGTTAGGTTGAGGTTGTAATTACTTTAGGTTGCTTTACTGCTGATTATACTGTGGAAGATCCGACAGTAGCTTGGAATCTCTTAAGCTGACCAAGCCCTCTCAGTCAAACTACCCGGCAAACGACTAGTGTTCACCGGGATAGAACGTTGAGGCAATGAACACAGAACTCCACTACTGGAATTAGATTCCAGTACAAAGCAGTGAATCGACCAACTATCGTATAATCGATTCACTACTACCGATTGAAGAAGCTCTAACAACCTAATCAGATTCTATCTATCTCAGGTTGCAGCAGAAATCAATAAAAGATGATCGGACTTCAATTAACTCAATCAAAATACTTCAATCGATTATAATCAAGCAATATCACAATCCAAAAGTCGTTACAATCAAGATTCCTAACACATGGAACTAGGGTTCTTCATACCCAAGTGAGAGAGGGTTTTACTCCATAGAGAGAGGAAAACAGCAAACAAAGCAGTCATACTCATCAAGACGGGAAGAATCTGCTCTGGGATGATGATCTTCACTCCAAGGATGATTTCCAAGATTGATTGATGAAACCCAGCTCCAAAACCACTCTTAGGGGGTGTTCTTCGCACTTTCTCTCTCTAGGGCTCTGTTTTTGCTCAAAAAAGTTGATTCCCTCTCCTTTGGCTCGAATTTGGGTTAAAACCCAGAAATTCCCGACCACACGGTCGTGTGGCTTTTTAGGCGTGCCCGTGTGAGTGTGCAAAACGCCGCGTTTCACTTAAGTGGCTTCAGGTACGCTACACGGCCAAAACCACAAGGCCGTGTGGATTTTAGGCGTGCCCGTGTGAGCTCCCTGGACTTTCCACACGGCCACAAGGAGTCCCCTACACGGCCAGTGTGGCTTGCCCGTGCAATTTGGTGTCACACGGCTAGGTCACACGGCCGTGTGAGTTTTTAGGCGTGCCTGTGTGGCTTTTCCAGCTTTTTGTCAAACGCCCCAACTTCGTCCAATCGACCCCGAACTGGTGCCCAAACCTTCTTTCACGTACTAGGACCTGAAATATCACAAACAAGAACAACCTAGCCTGAAATCGGCCTAAAACACGAGAGATGAGACTCAAACGGTGTAAGAATGGTGGACAAAAACATGTGTATATATCAAGTCATCACCATCAGGAAGAGAAGCAATGTCCCGAGTGTCATTTCGCTCTACGGTAGTGACTTCATTTTGCATAGCCAGATTCCATTCATTGGATTGAGCAGCCTCATGATATGAATCGGGCTCCTTATGCGCAGATAATGGTAAGAACAAAATGCTTATGAGAAGGGGTAAGCTTATCGTAAGAGATAAAGGTATGGATGGCATACCTTGTGTTGGAAGTTGTGGGACACCACTTAGATGCAAGCAACTGTGGTCTGCGAGTGACTAAGTGTTCACAGTCATAAACAGTAAGATGAGAAGGAGGATGAATAGAACGAGAGGGCAAGACACGAGGAGGAGGAGAGGAACTGGAACTGGCTGGAGAATATGATGAAGAATGATGAATGACAGGGGAAGGAGGAGTCTCAGGAGGAGACTCACAATCTGAATCAGAGGAATCATCAAAAGAAAGAGATGGGGATGGAGGAGGTATGTAGGATGGATCATCATAAGTTTGAATAGGAATGGAAGGCATGGCAACTGATGGTGATGGAGGTGAGAAAATAGATGTAAGAGCAAAAGGAAAAACTAACTCTTGAAAAAGAACATCTCTAGATGTGAAAATTTGATGAGTGTCTAAATAATCGAGACGATATCCTTTGATTCCCGGAGTAAAACCAATATAGATGCATTTTCTTGCACGAGAAGAAAACTTAGTGCGAGAACTGGGCAGGGTTGAAGCAAAAGGAAGACAACCGAAAACCTTGAGAAAAGACAGATCAGGTACTTTGCTGTGTAAGAGTTCAAAAGGGGATTTGTTATGAAGGAGTTGCGAAGGAATACGATTTATAAAAAACACAGCAGGAGTGACACAGTCAGACCAGAATTCAATAGGAAGATGTGCCTGGAATTTTAAGGCTCGAGCAACTGATTATATATGTTGATGTTTGCGTTCAACCTTTGAATTCTGTTGTGGGGTTTCAACACATGAAACTTCATGCTTAATGCCTTTGTTGTTGAAAAAATCTGTCATTTTCAATTCATGACCTCGTTCACTGCGAACTCTTTGAATTTTGGTGGAAATTGAGTTTCTAGCAAATTGAAAAAGGAAACCAAATGAGGTCGAGTATCAGATTTTTGTTTCATTAAAAGCACCCAAGTCATTTGACTAAAATCATCCACAATGGTGAGGAAGTAACGAAAACCATCATGAGAAAGACTGGAATTAAGACCCCAAATATCCATATGTATAAGTTCAAATGGCTTAGTTGTAATAGAGTTGCTAGCAGGAAAGGGCATTCTTTTTTGCCTAGCAAAATGGCATACATCACAACTGAAAACTTGATTCATATCTATACTGGAGTGTAACCTCCTTAGGTGAGGAAGTATAGAAAAAGAGACATGACCTAACTTATAATGCCAGAGATCAAAGGTGGAAGTTGTGCTTGAGGTAGCAACTTTGGAATGACTATTGACACGGGTTTGCTGCATTCTATAGAGATCATTGTGAAGCTCAGCAGAACCAATCACTTGCATCCTCATAGTGTCCTGTATGAAACAAAAACCATAAGAGAATGTGAGAGAAATATTGTTTTGCTTTGTCAACTGACTAACTGAGATAAGGTTGAAATTGAAAGCTAGAACGAGCAGAACATCCTTAAGGACAAGCTCTGTAGAAAATTGAACAGTGCCCATGTCTTCTCAAAGCAAGTAAAATGAAGACAGGGAAAAGGAAGAACAACGAAGGAAGAAGAATGGAAGAGGAATAGAGTTGGTTCGGGTTTTAAAACGCTAACCAGGCTCTGATACTATATCAACGCAAATTTCAGAGAACAATGGAAGAAGGAAAAGTGATCTTCCCTTCTATCCTTCCTTTCATTCATATACCAAATCCATCATTACAAGACAAAAGTGACAACTTGGGCAAGTGAAAGCAGAGTGAATAGTAAAACTTGAAAATGCAGTAAAAAGGTTGTTGTCGACCGTTGGAGTGGCATGTGACTTGCGCATGATCACTCCAGCTACATTCCTTTCTTTGTGGTTTTGGTCTGTGTATTCGAAGAAGAAAAAACTGAAGTTTTGTCTTGTGTGGCTGTTGGTATTACCGAATACACATTTTATTTCGTGATATTGGGATTGGTATTGAATTTCAATTGTTATTCGGTATTGGGGATTACCGGATTGGAATTGGTATATACCGAAATGCCGATCAATACTGAAATATAAGCTAGTGTGTATTTTATCCTCTCAATTCTCAACTATACTCTCTCATTCACTACTACACGACCCTCAACCACCAAGAGTGTCATTTAATTATACATAGATCACTACATCACTATTTCACACTAGTATTAGTCGTCTCTCAACCTCAAATTCGTCAAATTAAAGATTACCAATTACAAGAACTCGAGATGTTAGCTCTAGGCAACTCAAGACCATTTGCTTAGGAGTCGTTTGGATGGAGTATTTGTATGAGTTATTTGGGTTCAAATAACTCACAATGAGTTATTTGGACGCAAATAACTCGTTTGGCAGCGTTTTACTGAAATGAGTTATTTGGAAAATGAGTTATTTACAAATAACTCAAAACGAGTTATTTAAAATAACTTATACCCATGTGTTATTTCGAAATAACTCGTTTTATCACTCTGTTTTTACCAAATACCACATGTCAAATACCACATTTGCATGGTTCAACCAAACGAGATACTTTATTTCAATTACCACTGAAATATCACATGAACAATAAATGAGTTATTTGATTCTACAAATACCACATTGACAATTAACCCATCCAAACGATCTATTTGCCCTAAATTAAACAATAAAATCTAATTTATATATTTAGTTATTAATTGCAAAGGTGATTAATTTTGTATTCGATAATACCGATTGGGATACCGCGGTACCGATTGGAATACCGAAACATTTAGGGATTGGGATACCAAAATTATTTAGGGATTGAGATTGAGATTGATTGAAGGATGTAATTCGGTATTCGGGATTTCGATATTTGATATTGGAATACCGATACCGTACTGATTTCCACCCCTATCTACGAGAAAATAGAATTTGAACTTTCGATC